TGACAGCTTGTTTCAGTGATTCTTTCAGATCTTTTTCTCTGGGGGTGGGGGGAGGGTGTACTGGAATCTTTAAGGGGGGGGGCGGTCTAAGTTTTCAAGATGGATGGTGCGCACACTGGAAAAAAAGTATTTATTTTCTTCATAAATTATATTTCGTTCGGAGGGTTGACGTGCTTTATATTTGTTGGTGAGTTTAAGTCGTGTGCGGTAGTTTTAGTGCGTTTGGATTGTGGGTGTTGTTGTCGTGAGTTTAGGTCGTGGATGTTTGATTCGTTGAGCCTAGGTCGAGGGTGGTTAATTGCATTGTTTTATTTCATGAACATCTGTTCCTCATGGCTTGCACTATGTCTTTTTAGACTATTGAAATGTCTCTGTCAATTCATGCATTTTAAATGAAGTGTATTCCTTTAAAAAAAAGTTCGGTAGCTGACTCCACCGTGGGTGGAGAATGAACTGGGTGTGGGTTGGTGATACGGGGAAGGGGGAGGAAACTGACCTTAGTGTGCCGGTGTATTCTAGCGACACATCAGCATTTGTTTAGTATCTGGAACTAGTAATTGTTATAACAGCGATAAAGATATTTGTGAACGAATGACAAATGCGCAAAAGACAACTGTAAAGGGGCGGAAGTGAGCAGTAGGATGTGGTTACCCTCAAGCTCCATGCATCAGATCATTAGACACTCTGTGTTTTATTAAGACAGCCTTGATATGTCAAATGGCGTTCTTGTTGTCAATATATTTTCAACACATCGCAAATGTGTGCTTGGTGTCCGGTAGTCTTTTCAACGCGGCTCTGTACAAACCAGCCTACATGAGTTCAGAATATCCGGTTTATCCTTATCCGGCTTATTTGGCCACCGACGGATCCGACGAATCGTCTTTGTACACTGATCACTGCGTACACACAGATACGGATAATCCAGGATGGTGGATGGTGGATCTAAGAGGCTTCTACACGGTGGAGCAAATTACTATATTAAACAGGTAAAACTATTTCAGTCTATTGGCTGTTTTATTGGGGATCCTTCTAAGGTAAATTTCGTGGATCTATAAGCTCTAATAAGTGACTGGCGTGTCTTTAAGCTGTGATAGGAAACTGACTCGTGTGTCTATAAGCTCTGATAGGTAACTGACTCGTGTGTCTATAAGCTCTAATAGGTAACTGACTCGTGTGTCTATAAGCTCTAATAGGTAACTGACTCGTGTGTCTATAAGCTCTAATAGGTAACTGACTCGTGTGTCTATAAGCTCAAATAGGTAACTGACTCGTGGGTCTATAAGCTCTAATAGGTAACTGACTCGTGTGTCTATAAGCTCTAATAGGTAACTGACTTGTGTGTCTATAAGCTCAAATAGGTAACTGACTCGTGTGTCTATAAGCTCTAATAGGTAACTGACTCGTGTGTCTATAAGCTCAAATAGGTAACTGACTCGTGTGCCTATAAGCTCAAATAGGTAACTGACTCGTGTGTCTATAAGCTCAAATAGGTAACTGACTCGTGTGTCTATAAGCTCAAACAGGTAACTGACTCGTGTGTCTATAAGCTCTAATAGGTAACTGACTCGTGTGTCTATAAGCTCAAATAGGTAACTGACTCGTGTGTCTATAAGCTCTAATAGGTAACTGACTCGTGTGTCTATAAGCTCTAATAGGTAACTGACTCGTGTGTCTATAAGCTCAAATAGGAAACTGACTCGTGTGTCTATAAGCTCTAATAGGTAACTGACTCGTGTGTCTATAAGATCAAATAGGTAACTCACTCGTGTGTCTATAAGCTCTAATAGGTAACTGACTCGTGTGTCTATAAGCTCTGACAAGTGACTCGTGTGCGTGTGATGGGATTGTGTGATCAGCTTAATGCCCAATCTGCTGTGTTTACCCTTACGTGAGTCAGTTAGCCTGGCCATCACAGATATGTGTACTGATTGACATCCTACAAACTCGAAACTTGCCGTTTACAAAAATAAGTTAAACGATTGTGCACGGTTACTAAAAATTATTATTTTAAAAAATCCGTTTCTGTAATTTGTGAATCTCATTATGTTTTTAATTTTGATATTTTAATGCAAGTTGTACATTTGGTAATTTAGTTAAGGTTTTTAAAATACTTTAATTCTTGTTACACAATTTTATTTTCGCTGGGAAATACTTAGTATGCGTTATGTGGTATTCATTCAAACCGCAAGTCTTTCTTTGTCTCTCGCGTGCTTGCAATAAAAAACTAAGCTAAAAAGTTTCATTAAACCAGTTAATATATTTTATCAATTTGCTTTTATATAATGACGGTATCATGCTGTTGAACAGAGGAGATGACTACATATCATCAGTGTGAACAAGAAACTTCACATTCGACGTGTTTAAAACTGACCCAAGACAGTCCCCCAACTTCCCAATGGCATCTGGCGATGTGTGCTACACAAGAACAGAACCGCTGGGCATTGGGGAGATGTTCACACAGAACTGTACTACACCAATCATGGGAAGATTTGTTCGATTTATCAGGTAGGATGCAACTTACCTTTTGCATACTAAATTTTATGGATTCATTTCATAGAGGATAAGATGCAAACTTCTTTTTAACACCCATCTCTATGTATCGATTTTTTAAATCTAATCAGTAAATTTTACTTTAATCAGATACAACTTAGACAAAACCAACATTTGTGAGGTAAAAGTGATGGCTAGTGATTCATCCTACAGAGAAAACCACTTTTCCTTAGTGAAAAACGCTCAGCTTCAAGTTAATCCAATCTACACTACCTACACTGATAACTCCCTGGCCTGCATGTTACTGTGTCTGGGGCGTCGAGACAGCGATACGTGCACCGCAGTTAACTGGGTTCGAACCACGAAACAGTGTCAGTTGGTGACAGTCAACCCACACAGCCCACCTGTGCTTACACCTGACTTAAATACCGATTTTTATGTTGAGGCTTAGTTAGTGACTGACACTAATAATCGAAGAAGATTTACAATTATTTAAACATATAATTAACATGGCTTTAAAAGATTTCTTAACTAACTTTTAATCTCGAATTCTCATACATCGAATAGCTAGTTTTAAGTTTCTCTGAATGGAATTGTTAACGAATATGTTAACGTGAGCAAGGATTAGATTAGGATACTCTGGTCAATCCTACATACAAAGACTATTTTTTAAGATTTATTTAACACAATTGTATCTTGAATTACTCTGCTTGAAATACTGTACACTTGTTATTCATCAAACTGTACCACTCTTTCCCTTAAAACTAAAATTAATCCTCAAAACTAAAATTAATCGTGATATATTCCTACGAATATATAATTATCCTGACTTCTTACTAAAATTAATCCTGCAATATTTCTTAAATTAATCCCGATGTATTCATAAAAATAGTCCTGATATATTTCTAAAATTTCTCCTGATATATTCCTAAAATTAACACATATATATTCCCATATTTATGATAACAAAATGGTATAGAAAAAGATGAAGATGGCATGGTTGCCCAGGATTAATTCACTCTTGTGTACTCTGAATTTCGATTTTTAAAACAATAACTCTATTTTTACTTTTTTTTGTCTGGATCTCACCTCAAATGTTTTCCCTACCTACTCTTGCACAAAATAAATCTTTAACTATGCACATACTACTTCTAGACCCTAAACAACGTCACAACTAAAATGTCTCAACAAACAATGCACGCTATCATAATTAATTCACCTGGCAAATTGTTTATAATGTATTTTATATTTTTACACTACAGAAATATAAATTTAAGATGTAAATGTTTTCCTTTGCTATGTTTGCCTAACTGCAAGAGTTGTTTTTAAAAAAAAAACTATCTAAAATATTTTGTATGTATTGTTTATATTTCGACATTAATTTTTATATTCTTATTAGATAAAAACATAAAATGATAGACTTACCTATTCGAACATGGCGGTTCGTGTGGAAGTTGAAGTAGAGTTCATCTGTTTATGTGACATCAATATTTGGAGGGACAGTGGGGTCAGTACCATTTCCATACCTCTTAATTTTCGCTAACACAGTCCTTTACCTACAGACTCGAGTCTAGGATAGGAGCTCGGGACCAGAGGCGTAGCGACCCTTCCCGGCGCCCGGGGACAAACTTTGAATTTGGCGCCACCCCCCCCCCCCCCCCCAAACCTTAGATTTGCACTCCCCCCCCCCCCTCAACCTATTTATAATGCAAAAATGCAGCTAAAATTTGTTTTTACAACCCATTTTGTACCCCTCTGCCCCGCCCCCTCCCCTTATTACTACGCCTCTGCTCGGGACTTTTGAATTAGCAGATCTATGCTCTAACATTCGAGCACGCCGTCACATAAATGATAAAAAGTGGGTAATTTTTCATTTCTGAAATAAATCAATCAGCTTTGCTCTTTACTAGCATGTTTATTTGTATGTGTGTATGTATACAGGGGGAGGAGGTCTTGAGAAATTGAAATTATAGTGCTTATCATGATCTGCAAAAGTTTTTTTTTTCTTTGCTTTGAATATCGTACATACTCGTGCTAATAACTAATTAACTCACGTTTCATGAAATGAATTGGTTAAATCTTTAATCACTTTTGTCTACAGTCAAGTTAAATAGGCAGCTAGCCAGCAACAAGATGCATCTTGTAAACGGTGTTATACTGTTAAGTTTAAATTTACTGTTTTTGAATAAGTTTCTTAGAAACAATTTTTTTTAAAGTACCTTGATAATAAATGTATTAATAATTCGAGATATATTTGTATGAGATTATGATAATAACCTTCCAATATCATTTAATGTTTATGGGGGTTTTAAAATATTTTTTTATCATTGTCTTTTTGTAAAATAAAGTGTTGTAAACTCTTTTATTTTCTTGTTTTACCAAGTAACCTCAAAAATACATAAACAATAAACAAAAATATTATATGAGAATTTTATTTAGAACAGATTACATTTTTTTTTTGCTTTTGAAAAAGACAATTACAAAATTATTTACAATATAATATGCACCTGGCTAAATGCAAAAAATACATTTAAAATCATTTCTTTTCATGCAACAGTAGTAGTCTACTAAGTAGATATTTATCACATAGATGAAATCAGAAATCTAATAATCAGAAAAATACTTTTAGCGAGAGATGTTCATCTATCATTTATTTTATTGTTTTATTTTGTGTTTTGCAAAAGAGAAAAGAAACTGTTTAAATGTATGGATTTTGTATAAAAAACCCACTCCCAACTGTTCTTATTAATAGTAGTTGTAAATGTATTAATAGCAGTGGAAAATAAAACTTAATTAAAAAGAATAATGTCAAACATTAATGAGTAAGAAATATTTTCATTTTCAAGCAAAGTAAAAAACTTAATTAATTGCTAATGTCTTTATTAATGTCTTTATTAATATAAGTAAAATCTCCAATGTTTAATGATGATAAAATGATCCATAGCTTATATATAACTATTTTTCCAAATTTATTTGGTTATAGGTTGGATTAGAGTAGGTTTTCCTTGTATCACTACACCTGCAGAAAAAAAAAATACTTATCATGTTTTAAATGATGTTAAAGTACTTTAAGTTCGTATTAATGTTAAGCTACTTGATTTATGTCATCTTTAATCTATTAAAACATTTTACAGAAACATTAATAGAAAAAGGAATTCTTGGCTGTGAGTTCATTAAAACATTTGAGCAACTTATTTGCTTCATATACAATTTTACAGCTCTTTTATATTTTTTAAACCTAATTATCATCTTCATGACCTATTATGGTAAAAGGATAGAGATTAATAAACTTTACATACACATTTTTCACAATAGAAAGTATCTTAAAATACTTTTACTAATTGCCTTATATTTACAAACAGGCTGCTTATGTTTAACACTAAATTGCTCCATTAGCATTGGCATAGCTCTAATCTTAATTTCGTTCCTTTCTTTTTTATTTTGTAATTAATTCCTACAGTCAAAACATATTTTCTTACCCTTTAGATAGGTCTTGAAAGATGAGCTCTGATCTCTGAGAAATGCATAGATCAGCTGCAAAGTTTTTTCGCCTGTGTCTGCTTGTACATTTAAAAACAGCTCCAATAACAACACATAAGATAACAAACAGTGGTAGTCCAATGGCCAGCCCTAGGATAAGACTGGTGTTATCTGAAACTGTTAAATGATAAAGTTAACCAACATTTTCTTACAAAGTGTGTTATGTAGTAGAGAGGCTTGAATAATTCAAAAAAGATCTGACGATTATGCATTTAATATCTAAGTCAATACGTGTCTCAACCTACTGTTTAGGATTAGTCTATTTTTCTTTCATCATATTTAAAACCACAGTTATGTATGAACTATGTGCATGATAATTTAATAACATTTATGTTTAAATTTAAATATTTAGTTAAATCAATATTGGATATTTTAGCAGTTTTATTTAAAAATTACCTTTGTTTACTGGCCTGAAACAAATTAATAATTAGATTAATATCATTCTATTCTTAATAAAAATTTTAATTTATTTATTTAGAGAGTTGTTTTCCAGTTAATTTTCATAGAACTAATATTATATACAAAAACTGCAAATGAATTTAACTTTTCCTATATTTTTATAATGTTTTAATTTAAAATAAAAAGTCTAATTCTTTAGTAAATAGAGTTTTCTTACCTACAACTGGCTAAATTATTGTCCAGATAACATTCTTCATTTTCTTTACATGGATTTATTTTATATCTTGCATCACATGATAAGATGGACACTATCAAAATAAACATAATGTTTTTATTTCATATGGAATATAACTGAAATAAAATAGATAACAAAAACTTTGATGAGGGTGTATGAATATCTACTAAAACAAATTCTTAAAAATAATTACAGCTTTAGAACTTAATATATGTCTAAGGCATTGAAGGAAACAAATCTAAACAAATTAGCACACAATAATCAGTTAAGATTCTAAATGCTAATGATCTAGTTTTAATTTTTATCTTTAAAAAGTGCATAACTAGAAAAAAATAAGTAACAATAGAAACTCTTTTGTAAAAATATCTTTAGTACTGCTACCAGACAGTAGCACCTAATGAATTTAAATTAAAACAATTAAATTTAAAATCAACTTGTTCAATAATTAATAAAGCAATAGTTAGCCATGACAAAACTGACCAGGGATGTTATCAATTAAAGCTTGGAGTAAAAATATTTGCTGGCCATCTAGTGTGATACCATCTACTATTACGGATTGCATGGCTAATGTAAATTCTACAATAGTATTGTACTCTTTTAGAAGAATGACAGTAGCATCCACTATTAGGCTTCCTTTTCTGTAAAAAAAAAAAAATCACATTCAATTAATCTATATATTCATTTTATAGTCATATTTTCATTTTTAAAATAAAATAATTACAAAAGTTTAAAAGGAATATAACACAACACATTAAAGTAATAATTATTTAAATGGCACTAACCTTAATTTATTAACAATTACATTATTTATAAGAGAGCTTTTGCTTCTTAATTTTAATACTACCTGTAAATAAAAAACACATTTTCATTTAAATTTGGATGGATTAAAAAATAAATGTATTTACTAGGTAAATGAGAAAATATGCCGATTTTTAAAGTTTTTATTCCTATTCTTTCTACCATTTCAGTGAACCTTTTAAAGATGTTTTGAAAGATGTGTTTATTTAATCAAAATAAAAGAAAGAAAAAAAAGAAAAAAAAAACTTTTTTATTCACATTGTTGTTTTGTTTAACAAAAAAAAAAAAAGAATGAAACCCATTAGTAAATGTAAACATAGATAAATTAGAAAAGATTTATTGCATTCTGAAAAAATAACAAAATTAACTATATAAATTTTGACTGACAAAATAATGTATTTAAAGCCTTAGTAACATAAAGCAAGAAAATAAATTTACTTCAGCTTCAACTTGATTTTTTGTGTTTTTGTAATCATTACTATTTGTGTCCTCTAAATTCTTTTCAGAAACATCAACATTGAATGTAAAGGTAATTTCACGAGAAAGAAACTCTGTCAAATGAAAATGAAATACTAACTCAAAAACTTTTGTCATATAATACAATTATTGAAAAAAAAACTCCATTAAAAGTGAACAAGTTATATGTATTTATTCATATTATAAAATTAATATAACTTTATCCAAAAGTAACTGCCTTGCCTTCACAAGTATGATTGCTGGGATGGTTTATATAACCTTCATCACAAGAACATGTATACCCTCCATCGTTGTTAGTACAGTGAGAATGAGCTGGACACAGGTCAGATGTTTGTTTACATTCATCAAAATCCACATCACATCTGGTTCCATTCCATCCTGTTTTACAGAAACAGCTACCATTTGTTTTGTCACACAGGTGAGTGTTGGATGCTACACAGGTACAGGTGTGAGAGCAGTCTTGGCCCCATTTGCTATCAGGACACTCTGTATCATTAGTAAATCACATATGCATAAGTACATAATCATAACGTACGCATTAATACACAATCTTTAAGTCTAAACTTATTTTAAATACAATTTAATAATTTAAAAGAAAAAAATTAGAAAAAAACTACGAAAAAGAAACACAATCTACCTTTACATTGGCATGTGTCACATGACTTTGAGTAACCAATCCTGCATGAGCATTCATATCCTCCATCTTTGTTTACACAGACTTGCAGTTTACCCTGACTACATGTGTGTGTACCTTCCTGACATTCATTGACATCTGTCTCACAAGCTGGTCCACGCCAGCCAGGCTTACAGTAGCAGCTGCCATTGACATTGTTGCATGCAGCGTTTGGTGGACAAGAGCAGCGGAGTGTACATACTGGACCATACAAGTCTTCATCACAGGCTGTACCATCAAATGTAAATTATTTATTATTTTCATCACCTCATTTCAAAGACAATATAACTTGGTTATTTATTATTTACCATTTATTTGACAGATGACAACATCAAGTGGAAACCATTTTTGTGGGGTTTTAATAACCTCTTTAATTTACCTTTCAATAACATAATAAGTGTTTTATATAGTATAAGTCTAAATAAAATATTTATGAATCACAAAATTTAAAACTAAAGATTAGGCCTATATCAGATAAGATTTATAACAAAGATTATATCACAAAATTTGTAACTAAAGATTATGCTTTTCAATCACTTACCCTGACATGTAGTCTGGTTGATGTTCACAAATCCAACATCACAAGAACAGACGTAGTCTCCAGCAGTGTTTGTACAGTGTGAATGTACAGGGCACACGTTGGAGGCTGTACACTCATCAATGTCTTCTCCACATGAGCTGCCCTTCCACCCAGGCTTACAATGGCAGTTGCCAGATTTCTTATCACAAAACTGTGTGTTAGCTTTTTCACAGGGGCATATTGTAGTGCACCCAACTCCCCAAGTACCTTCATTGCATACTGTAATAACATTATTAATAAACAAACTCATTTATATACAATACAATTACCTTTTTGACTTCTTTCAAAATGTGGAGCAAAACTAGCCTTCTAAATAGGGCTTTTAATTTTTTTAAACGTAGGCCTATAATAGAAAAAAGTAATTAGATTTGAGAAGCATGCATTAATATTTTTTGTTATGGTAAGTAAACTTGTAATTTACTAAAGTAGGCCTACCTAACAAATTTTTAAAAATTATAAGAGTTCTATACCCTTGTTTTCTTTTCAGGTTTTAGAACACATCAAGATTAAATACCACTGCAATGTACTATTTGTTAATGTTTCACAAGATAAAAATTAAATTGAAATAGTAAAGACTTTTTTTCTTTCCAAAACATCTTTTCATGTTTTACCAGAACAAGAGAGTCCATTAGAATCCAACCTTTCTCCCAGCCCACACACACATTCAATGCTGGTGTTGTCTCTGGTCTCAACACAACCAAAAGTACATGGGCTGTTGGCACATAGGTCCACATCTTTTAAGTTAATTAAGTTAAGTTTATTTTCAGCATAGGTCTACATCTGTTATGTTTAGTTATTTTTTCATTATAGGTGTAAGGTCTACATCTGTTTAGGTTAAGTTTATTTTCAACATAGGTCTACATCTGTTATGTTTAGTTATTTTTGCATTATAGGTGTAAGGTCTACATCTGTTTAAGTTTAATTTGAACATAGGTCTACATCTGTTAATGTTTAGTTGTTAAATATAGTTATAGGGTCTACATCTGTATGGGCATAGTTATATGTTATACAAATACATATTATTTTAATGAACTTATTTATAAAAATCTTTTTAAAATAACAACAAAGTTAACTCAAAATCTTATGCTAATTCCAAAAAGTACTAGAGACTAGCCATCGCAGTGATATATGCTTGTACCTACCATCACAGGTTAGTCCATTTATTGCCAAAATTTTTCCCTTAGGGCAAAAGCAGGTTTCAACATTATCCATGACAGCACATTGGAAGCTGCAGTTGGTTTTGGTTTTGCATGGGACTGTAGCTGTGGTTATACAAATTAATTCATGGAATGGTAGCTGATGTTATACAAATTAATTCATGGGATTGTAGCTGAGGTTATATAATTTAATTATTTAAAACTAAAATAATTTTTTCTACAAAATAAAATTATGAAAATACTCTTTCAAAAAACAAATAATATGTAATAGTGATTCATTTTTTTTAAATAAAAGAGAATCATTTTAAAATATTTCATTGGAAAATAATCGTGTTACATTTCCTACCTCTACATGTGAGTCCATCTTGTTGGAGGTACAGGCCAGATAGACAGGAACATCTGTAGCTTCCTTCTGTGTTGATACAAGTCTGTTCACATCTGGATAAACCTTGGTCACATTCATTTATGTCTGGAACACATAATGATTGATTTTCAAAAGTTTTAAAATCAGTATTGATCTATTACTTCTATTGTTTAAATAACTGTGTAAATCTAGATTCTAATAAATTGGTTCCTGAAAATGATTTGTTTTCTATTTTCTAATGAGCTTACCTTCACACAACTGTGTTGTTGAATTAAATGCATACCCTGCATAACAAGAGCAAATGAATCCTCCTTCAATGTTGGTACACATCTGACTGCAGTTGTTTGTTAATGGACTGGTGCACTCATTTATATCTGGATAACATATGACAATATTTTGGTTTTATTTTAAGGTCAAATAAAAACAAAATTTCTTCCTAACTTTAAAAATTATATAATTTCAGCACTCTTCATAAAATGCAGTTGTAAAAAAATGAAATTGCACATAAAATGAAAACATAAATTAAGTTTCACAAATTTTTTAAAAGCAAAATATGTTAGTATGTCTATTTTATAATTTGTTACACAGTTGCTTTTGTTCTGTTTTAATTGAGCCAGTCATAACTTTATAAGACAGTCACCTGTACACACTCTGTCTTTTCTCAAATATCCATTCTGACACTGGCAGGTAGCAGATCCAGGTAGATTAACACATTTTTCTTTAGCTCCACAAGTTACATTTCCATTGCTACATTCATCAATATCAACTGAGCAGTACTTTCCTTAAAATTTATGATAATATATTTAATACCGTTGGATTTATGGAAAAATAATTTTAAAAAAAAAACAGTTGTTTTAGTTCTGTAAAATTTATTGTTCCTTTACCTGTGTACCCATGTTTACAGACACAACCAACTTTTGGATCACAGTGATCTGCCCCTGACCCACAGCTACAAGACTGAGAACACTGAATGCCCCAGGTTTCTCCACTACAGGCTAAAAATAAATTCAAAAGAAAACAAAACAATAATTACCTTTTTAGAATGAGTTCTTTAATCAAATTTATTCTTATTGGAATATGTAATTACTAAAATAAAATACTTGTTCAATTTACATTTTGTAACAATTTACATTTTGTCACAGCAAGTAAAATGTGCTAAACGTATAAATAAGTAATATTGTTCATTATATTCACGATTATTCCTATCAGAATTTAGAAATGTAACAAATGAAACCAACCAATGCAAGAGTGACCATCATTGTCCAGCTTGAATCCTGTGGGGCAGGAACATGTGTAGCTGCCATTAGTGTTTACACATCCATCTCTGTTTGAGCAATGGTTGTTCACATCTGACTCACATTCATTGATGTCTGAAAATATTTATTTATATCTTAACCCTGTTATTATAAATCTTGTGTTTAGTTATTAATAGTAAATAACTACCAATTATTCATGATTTCATTAGAAATTATTCATAGGTTTTTAGAGATGAAATAAATAAAACAAATAAACTGTAGGCTACACAGCAAACTAAGTAGATCTAGATATTTTAACATTTCTTACATCATTACATTTTACTAGCCAAGCTATGCAAAATATATAAAAAAAAGATTTGATCAAACCTAAAATTCTATTAGTTTTAGACTTCTGCTAAATGAATAGCTATAACAAAGACAATCTTTCTGTATGCTCCAACCTTATTTGCATACACTAAACATTAGTGCTTACATAAAATGAGCTGTGAAAATTATAAATCGAAAAAAATAACAATTTTTTTCTACTTAAAACTGTTGTCCTTACCTTCACATTTTTCTGGTTCAGTGAGTCTGTATCCTCTAGGACAGTAGCAGTAAGGTGTGTTATCTACATCCACAGCACAGCCATTGCTACAGTTTAGGTTAAATCCTTGACATGTGTCCCTCACTGATGATTAATATTGTAATCATCTTAATTCAAAAAACTTCAGCTGATTGTTACAGGCATATATTTCATTTAATAATAGTATTCAAGTCAACTGCAATATACAAATCAAAGTAATATAAATAATTTATTTTAATTATTGAGTCTCTTTATTAAGTGATGTTAAAAAGTGGTATATACAAACATTATTATTTTTATATAAATAATTCTATGCGAATTATATCTGAATCAAGTATACTTACTAAAATATGAATAGCTCAAGAGTGAGAATATAATATTATTAATAATTCGTTTTAAAGTTACCTTTCAGACATGACAAGCGATCATCTGCCAATGTGTAGCCTTGTTGACACAAACAATTATAAGACCCAGGTTTGTTTTCACACACCTGTTCACATTCATCAGCATTGGTCAAACATTCATCAATATCTGAAACAATAGAGATTATGTGACATTGGTCATAAACTCATCAATATCTGAAACAATACAGAAAATGCAAAATAGGTCTTACACTTATCAATATCTGAAAGAATAGAGGTCATGTGACACTTGTGAATTATCAGTGTCTGAAAATTGACCACTCCAAATAGATAGTCATAGATTATAAAATTTAAAATGATAATTTTGATTTTTATCAGCATTTAAAATAATTTTATTGAGTACTACTAGATTCAAGACCAAAAGTTTACCTTGACAAACAGCTAGGGAATTTCTGGCAAATCCTTTCTTACACTGACAGCTGTAGCTGCCCACTGTGTTGACACAAACCTCCAGCATTTTGTCACAAGTTGTGTTGACGAAAATATCTTTACATTCATCAATGTCTGGGGAGAGAAAATTTTGGCTTACTTCAAATTAAAAAAATTCATTAATTCTTCCAATTGATTTTAAAATGCCTCCTAAAACCATTAATTTTGTTGTACATAATTTTAAATAAGGTAATAAAAAATGTGTACATTTAATTCAAAAGTACTTAAGTAATATACAGAATTTTAATCTATCCATTAAAAATATATGTAACAGTACACATCATTGATGACTTTATTAAGTTATGAAAAGACGTACCAAAGTGAGTTACTACCTGTACAGATTCCATTAGTTAACCTGTAGCCCTCAGCACAGATACAGGTGTATGAGCCAATTCTGTTTTTACAGACAAAACCAGCTGGACAGGGGTTGGACTGGTCACACTCATCAACATCCAGCTCACAGTGGTCACCTGTCCACTCTTTGTCACAGACACAACCTCTGACAGGGTCACATGACCCATGGCCACTACACTGGCAGATTTGGGCACAGTTCGGTCCATAGTAGGGTCTTTCACAGGCTGCACAGTTATAGATTATTGGTAAAAGTCTGTTTATAATTATGTAATATCTACTATTAAAACAATAGAATTTAAGAATTTAAGAGTTCTATTTTGTGAGACCTTTATTTACATAATCACATTGCTAAATATTTTGGAATTTAAAAAAAAAAACTATCACGTTTCGAAGCTTTAAGTCAAAATATTTAGTGCTTTTATTTAAGATTATTGATAATGAATTTAAAATATGCAGCAATGTTTAAGACAATGAGCAGTAGATACAGAAATTTCCTACAGAAAGTTATGTTGTATAGCATCTGCTTAACATGAAACAACTAATACTAAGGACTGTGTAAATTCAATTTTATACTAATTTTATGTTCAAAGTTATATAACAATATTTTTCTATTATTTAAAAGTACAAACCTTGACAAGACAGTCCATCAGCTGCCAGTTTGTAGCCAGTATAACATGAGCATTCAAATGTTCCTTCAAGATTTTTACAAACCTGGTCACATGGTTTGTTACCATACTCACATTCATTGATATCTGGTAAAATATTAAATTTCTCAAAAATGTCAAATGTTAAACTAATTTGAAGATTTTTAAAACAAATAACAGTACAAAATAAAATGTGATATTAAAAGAAATGGCCCCATAATTAATTTAATTATAATAAAAAGTAGTTTCAAAATTGTTTTTTAAAATAACTGAAATAAATTACCACTAAATATAAATTCATAATACACATGCAAGTAGGTACCTTGACAATTTTTTGTATCTTTTGGATCAGGTTCAAATCCAAGCCTGCAACTGCAATTAGTCTGACCATTGGTATATTGACATATCTGTTCACAGTCATAGCAGTATGAAATCAATGAGGTGTCTGTAGATTGTTTATTGTTACTGATACAGTTAGAAAAATAAATATTGCCATTGCTAGACTTTTTTAACTATAAAAAATATCAAAAAATCTATAAAACGTTTAGTATAGTTTATTAGCAACAGAAGAGTAAATAACGCTTACCTTAAAGGCTAAACCAAGGTTTTGATTCTAGTTTTAGTATTTTTTAACCAATACATCTTTATTTATTTTAGTATTATTTAATGAGATAAAATCAATTATAACACAGATCAAGTTCAATGATCCTAACCTAAAGAACAAGTGAGACCATTGCTGTCTAAGGTGTATCCAGTCTGACATGAACAAGTGTAGTTGCCAGCTGTGTTGGTACAAATCTGTTGACATTTGGATGATCTCTCCTCACATTCATTGATGTCTAGGGGGATTTAGAAAATATTTTACAGTTATGTTAATGTTGAAATTGTATAACTTTGTTTACTTTAACCTATTTATGTTTTTATAGAGCGTATGTAAAATTCTTGTCTTCACCTGTGCAAGTTTTCTTGTCTCCAGTATCCAGCCTGTAACCAGGTCTACATGAGCACATGTAAGAGCCTTCAGTGTTTGTACAGGTTTGATTGCACATGCTTTCATCACTGCACTCATTTACATCTAGTTTACAAGAAAATTAACTTTTACATTTTGAATATTATTTAAACTGCACTAAGGTATATTTTTTAACATGCAGTAAAATTTATTTTTTCTACGTTAATTTTATCAGCACATATAAAAAGATCACAACAAATATTCCTCAGCTGTCACTCAGTTATCTAATAATACTAACAGTAGAAAACCTAACTACCCAAGAACTTTATTTGAATTTAATAGGTTAAGATTTAAATATTTTATGCTTAATATATCTATGGGTTCGGTGTATTTTAACTTATAAGTATATTTCAGGGGCTGTTGCCCAAAATTAGACACCAAAAAAAAAACAGAATAAATTAATGGTTTTGCTGAAAGTCACTCACCTAAACATATCTTTTTATAATCCACAAAACCAGGAGGACATTTTCCACAAACATAACCAACTGAGTTGTTTCCCTGTTGTTGAGCTGTTAGGTCTGTGCAGTTCTGTCCCTTGGAGCAAGGTTTTATAGCACAAGCATCCAGCTCTAATTCACATTCAACGCCTGTGTGGAGGAAATGTATTTAAGATCATGTAAAATCAAAGGTTATTATGAATTATACTCCTAAAAATTAAGACTCAACTAATAATGGGACGGAGTGGTCTAGCGGTAGAGCACTGGACTGCTAACCCGTAAGTCTCGAGTTCGAATCCGGGTTTAAGTCAGTAGACCGTCCCTGAGTCCACCCAACTCGGATGGGTGCCTAACTCACGTTAGGGAAAGTAAAGGCGGCTGAGCATAGTGCTGACCACATTATCTCTTCATATGCCGAGGTCACAGAAACAAGTGAACTCTACTTCACTTGCCCCATAGACCGTCAGGTTTGAAAGGGAAACTTTTAATAATGTCTAAGACTTTATACCTCACAAAAAAAATGTGTTATGGAACATTTAAAAATAAGCAAGCTATTAATGTCTACCTGTGTACGCAGGATGACAACGACAGGCCAGTATCTGGAACATTCCATTAAAAAGTTCCTCCCTTGTTCTATTTATATCACAAACACCATGACCACAACAGAGTGGGCAAACTCTAACTGGGATGTACAACAGTGGAGAGTAGGCTCCCTTGGAGTCTTTGACACGAACTCTAAATTATATTTTATTACAGCATCAGTTATTTTATAAATCTATTATCTGAAAAAGGTGTCTCAAAACACCATTATTGTATATGTTTGAAAATATTTACATCAGGTTAAATTTAATCATTAACAGAACTTTAACATGATTAAAAAATTCTATCAAAACTTACTGAATTGCAACAGGTTTCTTGACATCTGGTGCGTAGGTAATAACCCCACTCTTATCAATCTTGACATCTGTGATGTTTCCACTCAGTTCAAATATAACATCATCTCCATCCATATCAAGTCCTAGAACTTGTAAAGTTGATTGTGTCCCTTGTTTGACATTCCATGTACCTCTGATGTTCAAGTTGTCTATTAAAGCTATTATTGGAGGATTGTTTTCTGAACAAAGGAAAAGTGTTAGTCATCTATAATAATATATTATTGATAACAAATGTTGAACAAAATTAATTTAATCAGCACAGCTTCAGATTAACATCAGCACCAAACAGTATTAAGAATATGAATTTTTAAAAAGCAATTGACACAAACCAACCGAAATTAATAAACAACCTTTCAAGAAACTGTTACATGATTGTTTTGTGAAAAACAAATAAGAACATAAATAGTAGTTTAATCATTTTTACTTGATTAGGTTCTTAAATAATGACTATTTAATTGTTAAGTTATAATTTTTCATATTATTTTGATATCACCATACTGCTAGATACCATTAATAAAAGCAATTTGTTTTAAAATACCCTGTAACCCATACTTTATTGGATGTTAAAGTTAATTGTCTTACATTTATGTAGCCCCTACTCTATATTAGTATTTTTTTATCCAATGCATACAAAAAATTTCACAGCATAATTAGCAATGTTTACCCAAACTTTGAATGATGACAACCATCTCATCAAATTTGGATTTAGTGGCAGCAGCAAATCTCTTGTCCCCAGTCACCAAATAATCAAAGATACACGGGTCGTTTTTACTGCCACAGATTTCAACAGCTTTGGCCACTTCGGTTTCATTAGCTTCATCTCTAAACCAGGGCACGTGATCTGGGTGCTGGTAGTCTGATAGAGTTTTGTCTTGCTCGAATTTATAAACACAGTTGGAGGAATTCACAAGCCCTGGAGTGGACATGGTAAAAGAAATTAAATTATTCATTATTTTGAAAAATGGAATATACAATTAATTACAGAATTCAAGATGATATATGGCCTTAAAATAAATTCATACTGTTATTAAAATATTAAGAATGTCAGAATTTCCTATAAATAACCACTTAATAATAATTTTTTTTGCTAAAAAGAATTTACATTGTTTAGCAAACTGGTAGTAGATTTCCCTTTCACTTAAGTTTGATGGAAGAACTTGTCCATCAGGAAGGATGAACTCATCTGTCTTGATACCATTAAAGTTTCCCAGCAAACCTCGAGTTTTGTTTTGGAGTTCCTTAGAGACTTCAAACATAATCTCCAGACTTTTCACAGCAACATTCACTTCAATGCTGACACCTAAGGAGAGCCTAATTCAATAAATGTTTCTCCATGTTTGGAATTTTTTTTTTTAGATCTAATCTATGAAGTCATATGGTGTAAATATATCACTTATTAATCACAAAAAGTAATATATTGAAATTATTCCAGTATCAATCATGCAATGTTAAAGTCTCATCCCATTTAACCTGATGATCATTTTAAAATAATACAGCTACTATTCTATTTTAAAAAGACACACCAAAATACAATTTTACCAGAGATAAAAATAGCCACTGCTATAGTTTTATTATTTCTGTCTTCTCTGATGACACTGAGAGAGTTAGTGGAGACAATAACATCTGAGTCAACTTTCTTGTAGAAATCATTTGTGATATCGATACCATTCACCCACAGTAACATAGCTGGAAAAAATGAATTAATTTCTTTAATTTAAACATGCTGAAATATTTACCATTTAAAAACTAAAAAAAATCGACATCATTGTATGTAGATAGTAAAAAATAACTAAAATTATTAAAACTAACATGTATTTGATTCAGCCAACTCAATTTGAAAATGTGTATTATTAACCCCTTGAGCCGCAAATCCTTTAAAAACTGTGGCGTTGGTTAGGGTACCTGAGCTGCTTTCTGCCAGTCCAGTCTTTGCCTGCAGTGTATGAATTGTTTTTTTTAAATAATACACTTCACAATTATAATTAAACAAATTCAATTTCTTGCCGTTAGGGTAACTAAACCTAAATAATCATTTAATAAGCATTCAATTATTGATTAATGATATAATTTATCATAAATCAATGTCGTTATTTAAGTAAAATTATAAAAAAAAGTCTTTCTTTTATAATTATAGGCCTAAACTAAATAATTGACAAACTTAGTCTTTCACAAAACTAATGAAATGAATTTTTTAAACTAAATCTCTACTTCAATGAAAACTTAATTTGACCTACCTGTATAGCAAATTGATTGTCTATTGTCGTGACCATGGTAAAAATACCACGTCCATTCATGGCATATGTGACACCATCCAAGGTTGTAATGTGAGGGTCTCCCAGTGCAGGAGCTTAAACCAGTTTTAATTTTTAAAATAAGTAATAATTATACAGTGAAAACTTAAAAAAAAATATTTGCAGTCAAACATATTACCAACCTTGCACAAATTCAACAAAATTTGAACATCCCATATCCGGAAAAATCTGGTAAAACTGGTCACAAAGTTTGACTTGACTAGAGTCTACACAGCACCATTGGTGTGCTTGTATGTTTTCTAGAGCCTGAAAGTTATCAAAGTATCCCATTTGCCAAGGGTCATTGACCAAAACATGTCCAGAGTCTGGGGATGCTGGGATATAAGAAGCTTCCATCCATGATTGTTGCCAGTCTCTCCAATCATCATTGGCTGGTTTTGTCCAATGGTAACAACACAGCTTGAAAAGATTAATATTAATGATAATCTATAATAATAATAATAAGTCTATATAAGTAAAATCTTTATGAATTGAAATTTTTAAAAAGTATTTGAAACCAATTTTCCTGTACAATAGAAATAAAATATTCACCATATTCCTTTTGTTTCCCTGCAAAAATCTGAGCTTAGCCAGACTGCTGATGGCGTAGCAGTAAACATCTTGTTTCTCCCCACGTCTCTCATAGAGCTGCCACTGACGCCCAAGTCTCTCCAGTGTACAGGGACACTTGTACAGCTGACGCTTCTCAAACTCGTACACAGGGTCAGTCAGCAGGTCAGCGTGTTGACACAGATATTTCTCACACATCTGGTCTGGCCCAGACACCTTACCCACTTCAAAACTTATGACACCATTCAAACCTTACAAATAAAAACAAATATACAACACCATTTAAACCTTGGAAAAAGAACGTAACTTAAGTCACAATTAAACATTTGTAATAAAAACAAGTATGACCCAATTTAAATCATTCAAGCAACTCAAAGAAACGCAAATACTAATCACACCTCTGGGAAGAATTGTTATATTTGTATAAATATAGTAATTTAGCTTTAAACTAACCTTGTTATTATTATTTATTTAAGTGTATTTTAAAGCAATAAATTAATGTTATCAATAGTCTACTTAGTGAAATGTAAATTTATTTTAAATCAAAAGTTTATATCAGAACCAGACTAGACCTATTTAAATAAATTGTATTTAACCAATAATAAATAATGAACCTGTATTGCCAGGAACCATATCCAAGTTAGCAACTAGAGGTGAGTCAAGGTCATTAAGTGTTTGGATATTCTGCCCTTTGATGCCGATACTAATGGGTCTACCAGGCACATAATCCCAGTTCATTTTTCCTCGCTGATAAATGAATATGACGTATGAGGACTTTGCATCTAAAAAGTGAAAATATACCAATTTAAAAAGTATTCTAATGGTAGGGGATATCATTATTAAATGAATGTAAAGAAGTTAAAAATGAAAAGAAATATATTATAATATAATTACTTTGAAATAATCAAAGCCATGCAATGGTTAGTTGTTCATTATTTTAAAATAAATAAAGGAAATAAATAGTTGATTTTTTAAATATTACTTTTTCAATGTTCACACTATTCCTTTTGATTCAAATATTTTTAAAATTAATGCTTAATCATAATTATAAATTAATCACCTTGTAATATTACTTGTCCCTGCATTTCTATTGTTTCCCATCCACTGACTAAGATGGCTTGAAAAGTGTTACTCTCTGATTTCTGTAATTATTAATACAATGTAACAAAAATGAAAAAAAGCATTGTAAGCATTAAAAAATTATTGTTCCTAAAATCAAATATACATTAGCACATAAAACTTTAAAGAAGTATATATATATATATATATATATATATATATATATATATATATATATATATATATATATATATATATATATATATATAAAGAGAAAAAGAGAGAGAAAGAAACCAACAAACACATTCACTCTTATATAAACGTGAATGTGTATAATTTCACATTACCTTGCCTAAGTTTGAGTAAGGCTGAACATTTTCCCATGTAACAATCATAACTGAGTCTATTTCTATGCCAGAAAGATAATGAAATTTTGAAATGTCTTTCTTAGCTCTTTTGATGATATTAGTAAATTCAGTTGCATTTTTTTGGTTGGCTCCTTTGTTACAGTTCTCATACAAATGGTAATACACATTTCCTATTAGATACACACAAATATTTATTTATTTTTTAAAAATTATTTTAAATCTGTTTATTGTGTTTACTTTTATTCTAGAAATATATAATTTATAACAGCAATGATTTTTAATAAAAATGACCTACTGTTCATCAATTTTAAAAGTTTGTAATAAAAACTAAACAGTTTTGATATGATAAAAGTTTTCAAATGTGAAAACTCTTTTTTCTTTATATAGAAATAAATGAATAGATAAACATAATGCGTATTAGTTGAATGATGAATACATATTTAAAACAAATGTATGACAAGCTTATGATATAAAAGAGTCAAATAAGAAAACTGAGTTTTTATATCAATTAACTATATTTAATAGACTAACCTTTTTGAGCATCCATGTCAGCCCAAAATGGAGCTATTAGATTCATTTGCTGTTCTAAATTGAGATCTGGTTGTCCACTTAATTCAGTTTGTTGACCAAAGCTGATGACTCCATTAGAGAATACCTGCAGAATAAAATAAACACGTTATGAATACAATCTAAATCTAATCTAAATATATAATGTTTAATATATTTTAATAACTATATAAGATTTAATTTTTTAAATTTATCATCTTCTTTGAGATTTTAATATAAAAATCATTTAGCCTACAAATGTATCTTTGTCCATTACAATAAAGTTTATTTCCTAGGTAACCACTCACTGATGCCTCTGTTACATATTTGTCATCAAATGGAATGTCTTGTGAAAATTTGATTGGCTCACTAGCAGAGTATCCTCTCAACATATTCAAAATATTTAAAACGCCATCTTGAGCTTGCTCACCATATGGGTAGAAAGGTACTGAGATGTAAGAGGCATTGTTGAATTTTGTTTTATCTAAAAATATTTTATACAATCAACTTCAATAGCAAAATGAAACATCAGCATTATGATAAGCCTATATGAAATAAATAAAGTGTAAAACATTAATGTTAGCTTTATATAGGCTCGCATATCTCTTTAAAGTTAATGTTACAATATATTATGTAATAATTTTTCATATACAACCAACATTTACAGTTAGTTAAAAAAGTTAAATAATTTGAAATATAATTATAAACCATGCATTAATGGAAAATGCTAGGGAGTTGTTTCTATAATCATAAATCATTGCTGTAGAATAATGAGTAGTATTTAAAACTGTAATCAATTTAGAACATTCTTCTTCAAGCCAAGCTGTTGTACAGTTAAACTTAAAGAAAATTGTACAAATTTATTTTTAAAAATTCTTTAAATTAATATTTGAACTACTTTAATAAATAAGAGTCTAAAACACAGACAGTACACATATTTTTGTAAATAAAAATAACTTTATTAATTGAAAACTTTTATTGAGAAGTATTAATCATTTCTTACCAATGCAAAAGAGCTGTGTTTCTGTATCAAGTTCCAGTCCTTTGGGACAAACACATTTTTCTACTCCAGAACTTTCAACATAGCAAGCATGAGAGCATTGTTTGATGGTACATTCAGAACTTGCTGAAATATTTAAAATACTGTGTTGTTCAATAATAAAAAAAACTTCTTTCTGCACACAAGGTTGGAAGAATTTAGATTGTGTTGTGACTTACCATCGCATGTTTTGGTTGTAGAGTTGTACACATATCCCAGGTGACAGTCACACCTGTAGCTGCCCAGCAGGTTGACACAGTCCGAGTTGTCTGGACACACCTTGTTGTTGGTACCCAGACATTCATTGACGTCAACAGAACAATCCCTCATGGTCCAGCCAGGCTTACAGATACACTCGCCATTGGTGTTGTCACAGAACTGGCTGTTTTCTCTCACACATTTACAGTTGGTGTCGCAAGATGTCACGCCGTAGGTAAAACTGCGACATTCTAGGAAATGTTTATATATATATATATATATATATATATATATATATATATATATATATATATATATATATATATATATATATATATATATATATATATATATATATATATAGGCCTATATAAGAGTGTCAAAATGTGACTTTTGAATTATGGCCTTTTTTTACATATGGAACACTCATGCCCTCTCAACGGATGAATTAGAGCCTAATCTGCCCTAAACCAAACCATCTTTATATTTCCCAACAATTTCATTTAAAGGCAAGCCTCAAACTACAGCTTGTATGCTGCACAAAATTATTTCCCCTTAATGAAACAAAAGAATTTACAATATATATTAGCTGCATCTGTTTCAGACATTCACTATTTCCAAACGTTAATTTTAAATGAGACATACACTAAACGTAAGAGCTCACCATTCTTTAGGAATTATTCGAGAAAAGGCTGAAGGGCAAATACTTTTAGGGCTGAAAATTGGAAAGCTTGACACGTTATCATCAATCCACCGTGTTTTATCGCCCCGCCTTTTACGATTTTTATTATAATTTTTTTTTGTGGCGATGGAAGAATGAACATGTCATTTTTTTTAAATTTTAAATTAATCACTGTAATTAATTTTTTTAAAAACATTTTAAAAACTCACGATGTGAGGTGTACGTTGCATTAAAACCAGTTTGCTGAACACTACGATCAGATACAAAGTTTATATACATGTAGTGTCCTGTAGTTCGTATCAAACTTGGAACATCAGAGCTACAATATTTCCCAATTTGTCTGCTCTCTGCACTTTCGCCGTCATAAACCTCAACATAATCAAAGGTACATTTTGAGGTAGTCTCTAAGATAAAAACTGAAAATCTGTGAAAAGATAAAAATAATTTGATTTTTTTCTTTTATAAGGCTTCAAAGCAGGAATGCTTTATAAATTATATGTTGTTAAATTTGCACAGTAATAGTGATAGAGAAACTGCTTATGCGTGACCTAGTGTAAAATATTTAAGTTAGAGGTAGGCCGTGTTTCTTCCAGACTTTTTTCTCCGGGGTGGCACTTTATACTTTCGGGGAGGGAGGGCGGACACAGGTCATAGTGTATGTTTTCTATATACATTCCATTTCGTTCGGGGTGGTGGGGGGCGGTAGATTTTGTTCGGGGTTATCCGCCAATGCATGTCAAGACTCAAGAAAATAGAAGTAGAAGAAATGAAGGCCCTGAGTTATTATCATTCAGGCCTTACGAACGTCAGCTTTTACCTACCGATGCCCTGCAGAAAAAAAAACAAATAGCACTGGCATTAAGGGTCGTCCATAAATGACGTCACATTCGTAGGGGGGAGGAGAGGTACGTAATTTTGTGACGGTGTGTGAAGAGGTGGAGGGGGGGGGGGGTTCAGATGGAGTGACGTCACACTTTTGCTTTATAAAAAAGCAATGTTAGAAAACGAATTTTAGACGTTATTTCCCGTTTTAGAAAACGGTTTTAATAAAGTGTAATAAGAATTGATTAAAACACTCTATTTTGACAGAGTTCAGACAAGAATTAGGAAAAATACCGATGTTTAAAAAAAAAATTCAATTGCAATTTTAGGGGGGGTTGTAGGCTGTGGTGTGACGTCATTTTAGGGGGGGGTCTGGCTTTTTGTGACGCTGTGTGCCGGAGTGAAGGGGGGGGGGGTAAAAATTGTCAATAAAGCGTGACGTTATTTATGGATGACCCCTTAAGAAAATATCAAGCATGACAAAAAAATCAAAAGAAGATAGTTAACAAGTGAATTAAGTGTAAATCTGCAAGACAAACAAAGCAATCACGTAAAACATTCAGTTCGTACGTGCGATGAGTACCTTAAAGAAGATACGGCTTAATTTTTTAATTTGTAGAATAAATTGGCTATTGTTTGATTGCATAATGATGCTTATTACAGAACAAAGGAAATTCTTTAAATCATTTAGTACCGATTGGACACACCAGTGATACTATTTGGCCGCACGTGAGGGTAATTGCTATTTTTTTGTACTTAATTACTGTGCCTCCCCTTTTAATATTTACAACTTGAAGTCGTGATTTATTTGTTTGGTTTTAAATAAAGTTTGCTATAAAATTAACGTAAAGTTATTTTGTTTTTCTTAAGGGGAACGAATAACCCACTTTCCCCTAAATTAATTTCACATTGGTATGAGTGTGTAAACGATACTCTACCCCAGAGAGACGACACTTCCTTCCTCTCCAATGATCAACCAAGAACACTTAGCATTGTTAAAATATGGCAGCGGATAATTCGGACTGGATATAATCCCTGTGATGTTTGAAAACGTAGAGCTGCAGTCTGTGGATTGAAATGTGTTTTGTTTTCTTTAGTTAGCGCTCAAATTACTCAATGTTAAATTACATTGTTGCTTCAGTGGATAGTTTAATAGCAGACAAAAAGCACATATTTTGCTAAATCTACTATTCAAAATTAGGGAAACTGGCTTGACAATTTATCTGCCATCTAAATTTAAGTAGGCCTATAAGATTTATTTACAAAATCGTAATTAGTGCTAAAAATGTACTTTTATCGTAATATAATATAAAAAAATTATGTTTATCGTATTATAACACGAATATTTATTTACTTATAGGTATACACGTTCCATTGCCAGACTCCGTATAACCGTTTATCTCATCGCATTTACAGATAAAGCCTTGAAAAGTGTTTGTACAAGTTGAATGTGCCGGACAGTTATGAGTGCCAAGTGTGCACTCATCAACGTCTACTGTACAAAACTCTCCTGTCCAGTTGGTCAAGCAACTACAGTTGCCTATGCGAGTGTTACAAAATTTCGTGTTGTTTAAAGCACATGGGCAGTTTTTGTAGCAATCTGGACCGTAGGTCTGGTTCGTGCAATCTGAAATGTAGTTGAATATTTTTTTAATAATCCAGATAACGTAGAAAGGTGTGAAAAATATAAATATAACCCATAGAATATGCAAATCTCTTCAAACTATTTAGTAAGAATTTTTTTACATGTGTTTAAAACAATAAAAGCTGTACTATACTTGTCAATGGTTTTAAGTGTAATTAAAAGTATATTTGATAATCAGTAAAAAAAAAACCAATTTAATTCAACCGATAGAATGGTCAGAGCCACTTATCTACGGGAATAAAGTAAGTATAGTCTCCCTAATACGGAAACCTGCTCAGGAGTTGGACTCCCATTAGCCAGGCAGGCCTCAGTGTAGCAAACCCCGACCACGAGAGTTTCCTACACATCGGTCGCTACTTCCGTCGGCTCTCACCGGGCTTTCCTTCCCCACCCACCAGACGCCACCAGACCGGCTTGATCGTGGGGGGGGGGGGGGCATTCGGCCAGATCAAAAACCTATAGCTGCTGTTGGCTACCACTAGCCATTCCGCACCCATTAGGGGGGTCATGAGCTTGGTCCGACTAATTGCACTCTTCCGAAGCAACGTGAAGGCCGCAGCTTAAAGTCAAAATATCTGGTTAGGGTCAAGAGCAGACCCCTTTTGGTTCCCGGCAGTCTTGCACCTCACCTCCCCCACGCTATAATGTAGGGGATTTTGGTGTCCGACATACCAGGCTCTTCGGTAAGTAAGTATAGTAAACGAATAAGTAATTCAACTGTCTAGTGAGCTAAATCACGGCAGGAAGAGGTTTTATAGTTAATTTGCAGTAGTTAGTTACAGCAAACAGTAACATTGTTAATAGCTAAGTTTGATGACCACTTGTCTTTGCAAGGGTTTGCAGCAGCAAGTAAACTTAATAAGTAGGTCTGATGACTACGGAACTACGGCCTGTAATAAAATTATAAGTTACTTAATAAACACAAGTTTAACTGCAAGAGTAGGCTGCTTGTGCATTCATTAGATTTAACAAATACTTGGTAACATTTGTAACAGTGGCGTAGCGAGGTCGGGTGTCACCCGGTGCGGCACTTAATGGTGTCACCCCCCAGAGGTGTAACGACCCTTCCCGGGGACAAACTTTTAAATTTCCAATTTGCACCCCCCCCCCCCTCAAATTTTTCTCTATATATTTTGCTATTTTTTGCCTTGGTGTCACCCCCCTTAATTGTGTCACCCGGTGCGGTCCGCGCCCCCTGCCCCCCCCCCCCCCCTCTCTACGACTCTGATTTGTAACAAACATGAGTTACAACAAATGGTACAGTAAATAAAATAGTACAAAACCAAAGTACGTGTCAAACAGAGGGTCTCCCGTTGAAAACGTGGAGTAGCTCAACAACGGACACAATAACAGGTTCACCCACAGTAGCCCGTTTATTGGAAAGTAGAGTAAAAGTGCGATTCTATTAATTACCGGTCCTTTCAAGGTTGGACGGGTAAGCACATGGTAACAAACCCGAAAGTCCTGAGTTCAAACTCTCGCGTAGACGAGGCTCGTCATCTAGTGGACAGCAACCCATCTAGGAGAGAAAACCCCGAAAACAAACAGGAGTGAAGCCCCTTAGGCTATACGAATACCAACTCTTTTCTTTTCGGCAACTACTGCGACACTGCTGATTCCATGCTGTACAAGTACTGTCTTTAGGGCCCATCAGATGTGTGGTGAGAAGGGGTTTGAGGCATCGGCATCATATGGATCTTCGCACCTTTACTTGAATTTCCAATGCGCAATCATCAAATCATCTGACAGACCAGTGGTTCCCAAACTTTTTCGAGTGGGACCCCTTTACAAAAAGTGACCCGTGACCCTCATGGAATTAAAAAGTCGAATTTAATAAGGAAATGTATAAGGACTAAAGTAAGATTTTCTAGTAGACTTTCAATATGAATTATTCTTGATAACTGTTTTAATAAGATGAGTGAAATTACGTGCTATTAACTAGCCTCAACATTCGCAGTTGAATTTTTGTTAACGCCAATTTCATGTCATTTATTTTTGTGATTTGTTTTTAATAGGAAAAGTGTTGAAAATCAATTCTCGCAAAATACGTAGACACAAAAGAAACTAAAACTCGAAAGGCAATCAATTTCACGTTTGGGTATGGATGGTGTGTACTAAACCAAAAATGTGAGCAGTTTATCATATGATGCGGAGTCATTCCGACAATTTAAGAGTTCATCTTGTAATTCATCGAGAATGTTGGCAACATCAAGGGACGCAGAGAATGGGTTATGGGTCAATGCAGTTTCTTTTTCTTTCAGCTCAGGGAAAATAACACCGCGGTTTGTTTTCTAGAGATTTAAGATGCCCAGAAATCTCATGTTGAATTTTTTTATTTATCTCACAATCAGATTCATCTACCACACTGCAGAGTTTCTCAAACATGGCAATATTTACAAAATTTATTTTCTTCGATAATTTTGCAGCTCTGGTATAAATGCCTCGAGTTTATCGTAAAAAGAGATAGGTTTCGCTCATTTTGTATGTTGATGTTTGAATATATCTGCTAGATATGATACTCTCTCCTACCACACTATGCCGTTAAAGTGTATCAAAAGGTCTTGTTTCCCTTGCACTTCCAAGAACAACATTATTTCATCTTTCAATTTAAAAAAAAAAAACACGATTCACAATATTTCCTTTTGACAGCCAGCGTACTGCAGTGTAGAAAAGCAAAACCTCGTGATCATTATTCATAAGTAACTGTTTAGAGCTCCAGCTTATTATTTACGACTTTTATTAGCAATGGGGTCGGAAGAGATACCGGTGAATCATGCAGTGGATTCCCCTTGGTTAGGGAGCTAAATATTTTACTGTTTTCTGAAAGCCCGATTTTTGTCCACACCCCACAGCAGTTTTCTCATTTTAATCCTCCAGTTTCAAAAAAAAATAATAATTTTCTCCATCTCTTCATAAAATAGCAACTCTACATCGATATCATCTGAATAAATATATTTCACAAAGACAAGCAACTGCGAACACGAACTAATGTTGTTGATTCATCAACATGAAAAGCAAAGAAAGCTTTTGAAAGCTTGATTTCAGTCAAAGTTTGTTCTTTAACATCTACGGAGATGTCTGCTATAAGCCGCTGAATAGTAATATTAGACAGAGCTATTTGTTGCATCTTTACTGCACTGGAAACCCTAAAAATTAATTTCACCATCTTCAAGATGCAGGGGTTTGTGAGATGTTGTTTTTGCTTGGCAATTTCTAATGCGACTTCATTTGATGTATGCACTCATGCTGTGTTTCCTTGGTGAAAACTTCCTGTTCGATCAAGTCTCTGACGTTTGCAACTAGCTTCATGCCAACGAAAGAACTCCATAACTTTTGGCTGTGTTCCGAATTACTCGTCTCAAAATGACGTTTAAGTTTTAAAGGTGTCATAAGACTCATGGCTGACAACGACTTTGCACAGTACGCATTGTTTTTCTCTATTTCATTTCCTGTGATGTTAGTAAAGCCGAATTTTAGATATTCTTCTAAATATTTTTTTTTCATTGCTAGGGGTTAGTCGAACCAATTCGCGACCCCCCCCCCCCTCCCCCAGATAGCCAGTTTGGGAACCCATGTATTAGACTATAGGAGCCTCATAACGCAAAGGACATGTCCCATAAGCGTTTCAGACTCAGGGATTGGTTACTGAGTAACCACCCCAACTGGACACTATAACAGCAGTATCAGAGGCCGCTGGGCGAGCCGTGGTATGTAGCTGATAAGGGTTGGGGGCAGTAATAGCGCAGGCAGAGGGTGGGGGTTGCACAAAATGACGGTAAATGGTTTCCCCGTCACAAAAATGAAATTGTTATATATAGAACGTTTATCTTTTTATTTCGCATAAATAATAAAACCGACTTACCTACGCAGTGATCCCCAATCAACACCATTCCAATGGGACAATAACACACTTCTGTCGAGGTTGTCTGATTTGAAACATTAGCACAAACATGAGAACAATTTCTTTCTGAGCAGGAGGCGGTACTGATGTCAGCTATGGTTAGAATATATTATTATGTTGAAACGATTTAAAAACAAGTTAAATTATTTTTGGAATCGATTGTCTGCAAATATTGAAATAATACATAATGATGTACTCACCAACACATTGACTGCTTGTGTCCATGACCAGTCCAGGCTTACACGTGCAGTTAAAACTTCCGTTTATGTTTTGACAATCTGAGTAGTCTGGACAGGCCAAAGGGTTTTCATAGCACTCATCAATGTCCACAGAACAGTTCTGTGATGTCCATCCTTCCTTACAAACACACTGACCAGTGGTGCTGTTACAATACTTGGTGTTGTCCTGGATACAGGTACATGGTGTTGTACAGTTGGCGTCGTAGGTAAAATTGGAACATTCTATATTGAATAATGCAATTTGATTGTATGAACCATGTCCATTATTTAAAATCGCAGTTTAGGTTTATTTGTAGAAAGAAATTATGTAAAAAAGTATCAGATTTTGAAATAAATCGGGAGCGATCTCCCCTAACTTTCTCGAATATTCTTTTATAAAAAAAACAAGGGATGAAAACTCGGGATATAGACATGAATTTTAATCCATTTTAAATACTTAAACTTTTTAAAATAGAATAAAATCTCGTAGAAAAAATAATAGCACACCTGAGAACGCCAAATAAAACGTGGATAATAGTGCGGAATATTATTAGTTTTAATTTACATTCGTTTTTTGAGAAATCGGAAATAGCGAAAATTAGTATTTCCAATAAACGGAAATTACTCAAAATTGGAGAGAAGGTAGAGAATTAGATTTTTTACTTACATGTGAAATTTCATTTATCCATCTGAAATAGTACTCAAGTTATAGGCTTTTGTAAAATTCAAAGTAGAAAAAGTACCTTTTTCGGTTATAGGAAATCGCTCAAAAGTTGATACGGATCTACGATTTTGATAAAATACTTATAAATGAAATTTCATCAACCTAGCTGTAACGGTGCTCAAGTAATCATGTTTACACACAGACAAACACACACACAGAAAACCGACAGAATTGCAAAATCCAGTTTTTACGACTCGATAACGCATAAAACGCCAAAATGTTTATATATTTGTATTTATAATTTTTGCCTGATTAAAGTAAGTCCTCTATACTCCGGATGTGATGAAGGACTGAGGAGTAAAACGGTGAAAACTATCAAAATTTCATGTTATTTGTGTACACGATTACAATACTTTCTCTATACTTCGTATATACGAGAAAGTAAAGAAGGGTCGGGGTGGTCGAGTCGGAAAAGCTCATGGTTGCTAAACCGAAAAGTCTCGAGTTCGAACCCTCGGGCAGATGAGGCTCGTTAGCTGGGGGCAGCCACTCTTCTAGAAGAGACAATTCCAAAATCAAACAACTGCTGCTTGTAGTTCTTGGTTAGACAAACGTATGGAAGCAAATCCAGAAGAAAAAGCAGGCAGAAATCGGACTCAAGGGCGCATAACCAGTTGTCACGAATACTTTATTGTGTTGGAGGGGGATCTCTTCCAACACTAAACTTTAGAACAAAGAAGAAGAAAGAAAAAAAGATATATTTTCTTTTTTGAAGTCCTAAATCACCTTGTGAGTAGTTATATATAAATAAATAAATACATAAATACATAAATAAATAAACAAATAAATAATTAAATACATACATATATATATATATATATATATATATATATATGGGTGTGTGTGAGTTTGTAGTATAAAATATATATATATATATGTAATTAATTAATTAATATATATATATATATATATATATATATATATATATATATATATATATATATATATATTACATAATTATATATGTAATAGATATCTTTAGTTTATAGGCAATTTTCCTTTCTGTATAAAATCTAGTGTCTACATCCATACCATGTGTCCAATAATTCACACTTATTCCGGTTTCTTCACTGTAGTATTGATTTCCAATTGGCGTTGGATACGTAATTATGAGGAGCTCATTTCCAGATGATCTAACGATGCCTTGTGGGTATTCATTATAGTTGATCTGACCGTAGAAGGTAATAATTAAATTTGACGTGTTTTGTCCACCATCATAAATTTCTACGTAACCTGGTTTATTATTAGAACTGTAGAAAAGACCTAAACTATTGAATCTGAAAAAAAGAACAGCAGTTCACTCGCAAATTATATATATATATACATATATATATATATATATATATATATATATATATATATATATATATATATATATATATATATATTTGTATATGTAAATTTAGTTTGAAATATAACTATGTTATTTTAAAAATGTAACCATCCATTATCAACGACACATCTATACTTACGCCAGTGAAACTACATTTCCTTGTTTGGCTCTAATCGTCCACCAGCACAAAGGGGATAGATGTGGTTGATTAATTGCTGAATACAAACTTGTTTCAATTTTTCCTGATGACTGAGTGAGGACTTTTCCACAAGCTATAGATCAAATATTTTTTTTTAAATCAGTTTCGTATTTTTAAATATAAGCCATGGTTTCTTGTATTTAGATATTTTAGGCATAAATAATAAATAGTGTTTTCCCGTCCCAAAAGAAAATGATTAGTAGACGTTGAAAACGAAATGCTGCATTTAAAATTTTTAAAAATCAAACTTTAAAATATAAAAATATATTTGTAAATTGGTGTGTGCATAATTATATGCAAAAGTGTGTATGTACTATGCTCTATGTGTCAACAAGAAATATTCCATACCTTCGCATGTTGTCTGGTTAACTCTGTCATGGCCGGCCATACAGCGACATTCAAAAGACCCGTGAGAGTTACTACAAACTACATTATTTACAGACGTGCAAGGAGGAGCCCCCAAACTGCATTCATTTACATCTTGATCACACAAGGTGGACGTCCAGTTAGAATAGCAGGTACACAAGCCATTGGTCTTGTCACATGATCGTGTTTTGGACTGAAGACACTTGCATGAAAAATCACAGTTTTCCCCATATGTCCAGTCGTTACATTCTGGGTAATGAGGGGTAGGTATTTTTATAATTTAAACTATGTACATAGAATCGAAACTAACCTATACATAATTAATAAACTCATAAAAATTTCTATTTGTCATACAAACATGTGGTTGTGATTTTGCAGGTAAATTGTGTTGTTTGTTGCCAACACAGTTTACCAATAATTTACAAAAATTATATTTGAATATTTTAAAAAAAAAGTAGTAAGCATCATTCGAAAATTATAACAATTTCGTAATTATGTCGATATCGAGACATTTTTAGATAATAGAAAGGTATGTTTTAGTATAAAACTTTTATGCAACTCACCAACACAAGTAAAGGTATCTGTAGGATTCAGCATCATGCCTTTAGGACAATAACAGACTTCTGCTCTGGGGCTGGTTGATGTGACGCCACAAGCATGTGAACAATTCGTCTGTGTACATTCTTTGGTGTCTATTTATTCAGGCGGATTAAAAATATGTACACAAATATTGGGATTTAATAAATTTAACGGGATTGTAAAAATTAAGTTGTTTTCGTAGTTTCTGTATTGTCACTTTGTAATTTGCGGGGATTTTTAAAAAAAGTTGATAACGTATTGCAAAATAAAACATGTTTTTTTAAACGTTTCTCAGTGATGTGTTCATGGTGTTCGATTAAAACCTAAGTGTATTAAATTAAGCAAAGAGATGTATGAAGCAATTAGACCGTCACTTGTAACGTCTCAATTGAAATCAAATAAAAATAAACATTATAAAGACATACCCAAACATTGTCCAGTGCTATTTAGAGTTAGCCCAGGTTTACAGTCACACCTGTAGCTGCCAGGTGTGTTGACACAAACAGAGTACAGGTCACTGCACGTGTTTGGGTCATCGCATTCGTTGATGTCCACAGAACAGTCTGCAGATGTCCAGCCGGTCTTACAGACACAGGTACCGTTGTAGTTGACACAGTAGAGAGAGTTGTTTTGGTTACAGATACAGGAGGTGTTGCAGCTCTCTAGTCCATAGTTGAAAGGTGGACACTCTGAGAGAAAACGAGTTGAATTAACAATATATATATATATATATATATATATATATATATATATATATATATATATATATATATATATATATATATATATATATATATATATATATATACATACATACACACATACACACACACATATATAAATATATATAAATATATATATATATATATATATATATATATATATATATATATTATCATTACTATTATTATAAATATTATGAACTGGTTAAATTAAACTCCTTCATAAATTTATTTTGAACTGACCATGAGCCCAGTAGGAGCCAATAAACCCGGGCCGTGCACCTGTCGAATCAGACTGAAATCTCACGTGCATCTGGTGTTTTGTCGACCTGATGACCGTGTTTGGAACTTTTGACTCGTCTTGGTAGCCGCAGAGCTTTCTTAGGATGATGGGAGACTGTGGACTTGGACCGTCATAAATCTCGACGTAGTCTGTACAACTCTGTTCAGAGATCCTCTCTAGGTCCAGCCGTTTAAATCTACAGAGGTATTAAAAATCAATCAATCACTGTTGATTAGAGATCAGAATAATTTATTTGATTGTATTAATACTACAACACACGGCATTTAACCGCGCCGTAAATGTTTTTCTGTAGGTATTGATTAGGCACAACGGTAGGAAGACAGTTCTGAAGACAATACACAAGCTCTGAAGTGAAGCCCAGGAGGAAAGAATATAAAGAGGAGGCAAATTCTTGAACTCTTATAACGTAATTTGCTCGGCGGAGAAATGGTACTGACTGGAAATTCATAGCTTGAAATGTTTAAAAGTAGCTCTAAATCTAGTTCGTTGGTAAAGTGTCGTCTCGCACCTATGCTTCTAAGGGTTTTGAAATGTCTGGTTTAGAAAAGATTAGAGGGCGATTAATTGCAGGTGTAATTTAGTGTCGCTCATTTATTTTAGTATCTTTAGAACGATTTCGAATAGAGTATATACATTACGTTTATACACTGCGTTTATACATTGCGTTTATACATTGCGTTTATACATTGCGTTTATACATTGCGTTGAACAAAGCCAAAACGCTGTAGCAGTCATCTGGTTGGATTGTGGTCAGAAATGTATCTTGTTTACTAGGATTCGTGGCTATCCATTTTGGTATCTCCTAAAGATCGGCATTAGGATCGGCACAGGTACACCTCCATTGTATGTTTTTAAGAGTATATGGTCGCATAATTTTATGGGGATGTGTTTCTGTTTGGTACACTGAAATCTGGATGTGTGTTCCATAAACACGCAGTGTAACAAAATAATTACCTGAAGGCAACAACCTGTCCTTCAGCCACGGTGATTGTCCAGTTACAGATGGCATCGTTAGGGTAGGAGTCGGGGAAGTTGGGGGAGAGAATCGTGCCAGCCTGGTCGGTCAATGAACCACCACAATCTGCAGTATAGAATGTAAGATATATATATATATATATATATATATATATATATATATATATATATATATATATATATATATATATATATATATTTATATATATATATATATATATATATATATATATATATATATATATATATATATATATATATATATTTATATATATATATATATATATATATATATATATATATATATATATATATATATATATATATATATATATTTATATATATATATATATATATATATATATATATATTTATATATATATATATATATATATATATATATATATATATATATATATATATATATATATATGTTCAGCCCATAGTACAAAAGCTATTTATTATTTAAAAAAAACTTATAACTGTAGAAGGATTTTTGTCAGCCCCTTTTCTCCCTCCCCCACCTCTACTTTTTCCATTTTTACAAAATAAGTTCTTCAAATACATCTACTTAGATGCTAGTTTTGAATTAAACTGCATTATACAATTTAAAATATAAGGACGGAAGTTTATAAAGGATTCTAATAATGATATATGAATCTACTTGATATAATTACATTACACGGTTGGAACTATTTATATACTAAATATTAATATTAATATTGTGGATCAAAACATAAATTAAACAAATAATTTTAAAAATATGCTCTAGTGATGTATTTGATAATTCTCTTACCAGTATAGTCAGTGATGACGTAAGTAAAGGCCGACAATAAACAGCCAAGTACCATAAATCTTGACATTATTCTAAAGTAATGTTGTAATATTAATATATTAATAACCCAAAAAGGGTATTCTCTACAGTAACGGATTTTTTTTTAAACTTGGTTACTGGTTCATCTAAGAACTTGTAGTTGTAAGTGTGTGTTCTTTAAGATGATCAACTTGAAACACTGTAAAGCCAAAAATATAATTCAAAAATAATTAAAATAAAAGTATTTTGATTTTTCTCTCGGTATGCGAGATTAAAGCCCTATATGAGCGTTTCATTCAAATTTATTGTATTCACTTAAATAAGTGTAATTTTAAAAGTTGGTTTGACAAGCGCATTAATTAAAATTACATTACTACAACCTTTGGCAAAGCTTAGTTTTGACCTCTTGTAGAAAAACTAAATCACTTCCTGCATCTCAAGAATCAAGCTATTGTTTAGCCTGTTCATTGCGTTTATTGAACTTACGCACTTTTCAAATAGGCAATACCAATAGCTTCTTTTAACACCCTGTAAAAGCATTTTAATAAAAACATAAAATCTTATCTTAGTAGTTGATAAACAATTTGCTGTTCACCACTGTATATCAATCTATTACTGTTGGCCTGTTATCAGTTTTGGTTACGAATGTAATATATGGAACAGTATGATGAAGCAATTTTAACCGATTGGAATCGCAGAAGTAAATTGAACCGAAAAGGTAATCATTACAATGTTAAAAAGCAATAATAAAATATGAATATTGCTGAATATAAATTAATCGACTTCTTCAACTCCAGGTTAAATAAGTTTAAAAAATTAAAAATTAAAACGTCAATATCTCTTGAAGTGTAGATGGTGTTATACGTTTATAGCGAGATCAAATGTTGTTAAGAAATAGTCGACTTTAAACTCACTCTATATACTCGATACTTACAAGTGGAGGGGAGTTAACTGATGTAGAATAAATGTGCGCAACTCCAGTACGAAATGTTTAACATTTTTACATGTTTTACGGCAACAGGGAAGTTATTTTTACATCCTGGGACAATTGCAAAATGTCTGCTACATACCTTCAGCTTATCTAATCCCCCAGTGATGTCAAAATGTGACAAGGAATATGAATGTGCTTTTAACAACCACTGTAATTTGTCAATTTTTTAATTTCTTTTTTATTTGAGTGGTTCAACAAATACATGAGAAATTACTACATAAACTTTTATCTTCACAAAGAAATGAAAGAATGCTGGTTAAATTGCCAATCTAAATATAACGTTACAGATTTGTATATATTATTATTCTAGAGAATGGATAGCTTTAACTACACCGCTCCTTCAAGCCCGTTCTTTTGTTAAAAATTCCATTACGTATTTTTGTTTATGAACCCGCGGGGAAAGCACACGAAGAGAACTAACTGTAACGAGATGACCCGCGGCGTAGCATACGCCGCTATTTAGTTTAATTTATATTTTTCAGTAATTAATAATTTGTTAATTCGACACTACCGATACTGTGACTAAAAATATTTTGCTTTAAAGCAGCCGTCTGTGACGAAAGTTTACAGGTGACAATGAAAAGAGCAAGCAGTACATGTTATTATCTTCACTTAGTTTCAAATCGTCTAAAAACTAAATTATCTGCCCCTAATAGCCGTCACTACGATTGTAAACATTCGGGGTGAACCTTAGCTCACCAGAATGGTAGGGGTGGGGGTGGTAACTATATGCCTAGAGAGCGGGGGAGTAAAGGCGTTCGTTTACTTGGCGGTGTCTCGTATGGTCCCCATGTAGAGAATTATATATATATATATATATATATATATATATATATATATATATATATATATATATATATATAGGTTGTATCACGTTATCCAGTATCACAATATTCTTTAATTAGCGGTGTTGCATTTAAGGGAGTTTTGCCGTTATAACAGGGCGCAGCATGTTGTAAAAGATCACTAGAGCGATAAAATGTTGCAAGTTCATCTCACCTGTGTGTGAATTCGTCATTCTCAGCTGATGTACTTGTGACGAAATACACATACCATAAAAAGCAATTACGTACTGTTGTGTGTTTAACCGAATTCGTCCGGGCATGAACGAAATATTATCTCACGTCACGCACGCCGCGCCCAGTTTAGCAATAAAAATGATCGATTTAACTTTCAGAGATGAGATATTTAAGGTGTCGCCTAACGTAGAACGAGAAAAAAGATACGTAACAGCTCTAACCCTATTAGGTTATGATAACTGTAATTTGGTAAGAAATATTTCAAAACATGAAATTGTAGAGAATGAAAAGTTGTGTGTGTGTCTTATCAAATTAGAGAAGAAAATAGAAAAAAAGTCAATAGTTGTATATAACCATTCAATGTAGATAACAGACAAAAGTTTTGGTGAGCCTAAACGAAAAGCATTAACACCAAAGAACCGGATTGTATTTGACACGACCAAAAACGGAAATCCGGTCAATGCGCGCATAGGCCAGCCAGTTCGCGCACTGTCCGATTAGTTTGGCCAGTGTCGAGGATGTTAAAATTGATTCTTTATGCTGGTATTATTACGAGTAACGTATTTCTCGGCAAATTTTTTTAAAAAGGTCGTAATTAATAGGGTATTTGACATTACCTTATCAATTACACCGTTACTGAAAATATCTACGCATCAGGTACCAAATAGAGAGAGATTTGTGTTTCTGTTTGTGTGTACGTGTGCTTAGACAGATAGACCATACGACTGCCAAGGAAAGAAATAAATACCCTAGTAAGTATCCAAACAGCTCAAAATATGGGTTACATCTATTTGGGATAGCTCATTCTATGAATCAAGCAATCACGAAATAACGATATCAAAAGCATCCTAAATAGATCAGATGAAAGTTCATTAGGAGATCCAAGAGGACATTAATTTAGCCCCCCTTCCTGAATACATCACAAAACGCACAACCTCCGAATCTTCAAAATGTTATTAATGGAATTTTTTATGTGACTGCATCCTAGTAACCTCACCGATCGCCATTCTTTGCCGTAAATGTTTGCTTCATCCTCCCATATAATGCTTTGGTGTAGAAGCGTTAAGAATATGCTGTTTTGCTATTTTAAAATACTTTTTAGCCCTGTGGACTTATTATAAAAACATCAGCAAATACACATACAAACACGTAGAAAAAAAGGCACGGACATCGGTGCAGGGACGTATTACCATAACAACAGACGCTGTTGATGTGTGAGGGGTGAGCTCAAGCCGTTTATGGAGATCACAGCTGACCAATTTAAATTTTTTTAAATGGTTTAAAATTAATCACATTGCACTTTAGCTTTGATAGTAAGTTGCCTTTTTAAATTAAATTACAACAGGCTGTAGCTGTGGTGGAATTTTCTTTATTCTACCGTCAGTATCCCACACTCTAGCGTAAAACTTAAAAAACACAACTCAAACTGCAGTGTAAAATATGGGCAAACCTTCAAATAACTACCGTCACTTACTCGCCTCCCCACTAGGATAAACCAAATAGGGGTCCATGTTTTAACACGTTTACGCATCGGTATAATAATAATACAGGTCAGCCGGACCCCGAGTGTGTAAGGTGGGGAGGGGTGGGGATGGGAGAAGACTGATTAGTGTGGCCAACAATTGTCGCCATTTTTTAAAGTTATTTATAGTTCTCTCTTTTTTAAACTGTGGCCAAGTTATCTTCGCTTACACATGTTCTTGTCACAGAGTTATGTGGAAAAAAATATATATCTCGGGAGGCCGGCACACATTATTGTATAAAATACTTTCATGACGTGCGGTTTTTCGTTGTAGCGTTAGTTATGGGCACAATTGTAAAAATATTGGTATAACTACTATGACCACGTCATTCTAAATTAAAGTGTAATTTTGATTTACCTACACATAATTTTATATCGTAGAAAAAATAACTTTTAAAATTATAGAATAATGACGAATCGCTATAAATAAGAGGAATATATCACAATATTTCTATGACGAAACCCCTATATGCATTCGATATAAAGCCAATGTGCGTACTTCTCTCTCTCTCTCTCTCTTTCTCTCTTTCTACCCGCAGGCTATGAGATATCTTCAGCGACATATGGAGAACTTAATTGCTTGGACTTTTGTTAAAAATAATTTCTTGGATGTAGCCTATTAAATGTATAAACTAAATTTTATTTAAAAAGTAAAATTTAAAAAAAAGGCATATTCGAATGTAGAAATACATTTTTAATTACGCAACCGGAAAAGTGTTTATGGTTGTGACAAGAAAGCAAAAAAAACAATGATGTCACATGTTTAAACTACGAAAAGTACACAACACTAATGGCGTCTGCTTTCAATTTTAGAACATGAAGAAATGAAATATTTCATTCAAATTTGATTTAAACCTATAGATCTACTTATCCAAACTTACGCTATGAAATGTATACAATTTTCTTGGGATAAAATAACAAAAATTACTTAAAAAACAACATTGAACAGCCCAGTTTTTAACGAAATCATTTTAGTCTCTTAATCCGTGTGTGCATTTAATATGGTGTTGTGTTGACAAATAATGTATATAATTTGGTTTTAATTTTTTTTATAGGTATTAGTAGCTTATGTTATTTTTAATGTGTCGGAGCTTTTGCTATTTAGTTATATATTTGCTTTATCACTAATATAGTTCAACGTGTAATTAAGCACAATGCGTTTTTACCATTAACTATTTTATAAATTAATTTTTCTCAAACAAGTGTAGCATAAAAATTTAGACTAATAATTCACGTGTGACGGGTACCAATGGCTGGTAGTACTTAACATCCCATCAGCTGAAACTATCTAAATGAGATAAATACCTATATTTGATGACCTACAAACATTTAACCTTACCTTTAACGGATGTGTAGCTTGAATGTTGTATACCAGCAACCAGTCGAGTTTTACAACTGATTCTACTTCCTCTAGACCTGCATTTAAAACAAATGTAAGATGACGTATGCATGATAAATATGCACGACTCCACAAACTGTATCAAGTATTTTATGTTTTCACAGCGACTAGGAATTTACCTTTACATCCTGGATCAAGCAAGAATAAAATGTTAAATGCTTACCCTTAGCCTGTCGACTCCCCATCTTTTCCAAACGTGACAACGAATTTGTTTTGTTTTACCTAACCACAGTTATATAATCGTTGTTGTAGTGATTGTAAAAAACATTTAACTTCTTAATAAACAACAGAAGCTTGAAAATAATCCCCACACGTCGTGGACAAGAAGATTTGATGTCAAACAAAAAGAAATTCATAAATAAAAACCGTTTTAATACCAAGCTTTTATGTAATAATGTACTAAAAAGTAGAAAATAAATTATGCACTACTATTTAAATAACTATAAAGAAAAGCGTGGGTCACTTTAATACCTATTGTATACCTTTACTAATATTTAGGAAGAGACTCACGCTTTTCTTTATAGTAATTTAAATAGTAGTGTATAATTTATTTTCTACTTTCTAGTGCATTATTACATAAAAGCTTGTTATTAAAACGTTTTTTTATTTATTATTTTTTATGTACTGTACATGTTTTATTTACAATAGAGTTGCATGATTAAAACCCATTGCGCACCTATTGATAGTGATGATGCGTGTCTAATAGCGCGAAATAATTCGATGTGACAGCCTACTAATTTGGATAAAAATTTAATTAATTCATAAAAAAATTAATCAGGCAACCAATTAAGTCAAATTTTATTTCATGTTGCATTGTCTTCATGTCTTGACCCACATGCCAACGTTGAAACAAATATGTCATTTAGAAGTGTCCGAAATTTCGCTCGGACGTTTCGATCTATACAGACTCACTGACGACAGACTAACGAAAGACAGAGGAAGTGAGTTAAATAAAAGCTTATAAAAACTGAAACAGGAATATATATAATTCCAAAACGTAAAAGTATTAACCGCACTAATCCCCCTTAAGCCGTTTGTTAATTCTGGCTATTTATTTTGTCTATGCACTGCGTTGGGGAAACACCTGACAGAGAAATGACTCTTAACTCTGCGTTTGTTAGTTTATAATCTTTTTCGTCTTTTGAAATTTGTCACTAGCTTTGTGTACTAGAGCACAGAAGTGAAAGATTAAAACAGTGAAACGCTCGTGAGGATGAAGTCAAATGTTTTAAATTTATCGCACCTGAATCCAATTTTCGCTGCTCATGTGTGAAGAAAAACACATGCAATGAAACGTACTTGCGCCCTGCTAATAACCGAATGCGTTCTAGCATGATATCACACGCCACGCCCAACTTAGTATTAAAATGATCTATTTAACTTTGGAGATGAGGGCTTTTGTAATTCGAAGGTGTCGACCAAAATAGAACGAGGAAGTATATAAGAAAGTGGTACCTCAAAGTACAAATTTATTTAGTTCCGTGACATTTCTCGTATGTCACATTCTTGAAATGACGACATGAACCCATTTCGACCTCCCTCCCCCCACCCCCCAAACAACAATACCACAGTTTTTTTGTTACATAGTTTCTATAAGGAAGTGAATTTAGAAATTGAGATGTTAAGGCTGTACTCTTTTGGTCACTTTCACCTTCCAGGTAAATGTTACGTCTCATCGTTAGATCAATGCCCCCCCCCCCCCCAAGTAATGCAGTGTCACAGAAGTATTACTTCCTCCTCCTCCTCACACAAAGTGTTTGACGTCATTAATTGACAATGTCTAAGCTGATTTGAAAAGTTTTCTGTGTGAAACTAACGATGAAGTTCCCCGATTCTTATTTCACTTTTTTTCCTGAATTTATATAATATAACTTTAAAAGAAAAATACTTTATATATTATGAATTATTAGAAAGGTGATCGTATTCTATTGATTTATAAAGTTCATATTTAGCACGCCCTTTTTAAAAATGTTTTGAAATGTTTTGTTTACAAACAGTTGAATATATTTAGTGCCAGATTCATTTATCGAAATTTTTGTAATGGAATTTTTTTTTATTCTCATATAATATAATACAATTTAATAAGTTGCACTTTATATATAGTGATCTATTCCTTGATGAATTGTATCACTCCGCTTTTGCGATTTTGAGAAATGTGACGTTTTACGCCATTTAGTCGGAAAACATAAAAACTTGTCCAACCGCCCGTCAATCCGTCCGTGCATCAGTCTGTTTGTCCATCTGTCCTTGTGTATGTCTGTTTGTCCGTCCGTCCGTCTGTTTGTCTGCAGTGTTTCTTCCAGACTTTTTTCTCCGGGGGGGGGGGGGCACTTGAAATCTTCGGGGGGGCGGTAAACTTTCTTCGGGGGGGCGGACACTATTAAAAGTATATATTTTCTATATAAATTATATAAATTTCATTTCGTTCGGGGGGGGGGCGGTAAAAAATTTTCGGGGGGGGGGGGGGCTTAGCCCCCCCGAAGAGATGCCTGGAAGAAACTCTGTTTGTCTGCATGTCTGTCTGCCTGTGTTTCTGTCTGTACTTCTGTCCGTCCGGTCGTCTGTGCGTCGTCACTCTTTAATAAAAGCTTTGTTCGCTCATGAAATATGACCCCCTACCTATTTTGTCGACCAATGTTAATATTAAAGAAGGTAAATGAGTTTTAAAAAATTGCAATGCAATCGAAGCGTATTATTAAAAAGATTTTTAATATTTATTCACTTTACATAATGAGCTGCCAGGCTGTCACAAGCAGATTAATCACCATTCGCTGGAGGACCTCTCTTTTTAACATTGCCATCTTACAAGTATAACGACTACAGCAATGCTCAAACAGATTAACAAAGGTACAAACAATTAACAATAACAGATATGGTACATTTCACTTTTAAATATGTGGGCCTAATTCAGAAATGTCACCCACATTTTAAGCACCTAATATTATTAAACAGATGTAAGATAAGCTTATAAAACGGTAACGATACTCTGTGATGTCCTTTAACTTAAGTATTCCGAATGTAAAAATGTTAAGATCTTTAAGATTTCCTAAATTGATGTTTTGCTATATAGACAAAATATAAATCTTATGATTAAACATTTAAATCTCTTGAATGCGAGAGATCACAACCACTACTTTGAGATAAGTAAGGATTGTTTACTTCAGCTGTCAGGTTTTTTCTCCCTAATAGTTACTTGAAATATCAGAAAATAAGAAAAAATATTAAATTTGTTGTATTTTATTTTTATTCCCAAAAAACATCTTAAAATATAAATCTCTAGATCTAGAATGTAAGGCAATTGAAGAAAATATGTAGATCTAGATCTAGTTATAATTACTAATTAATACTACTTACCTAAAATTACCTTATTACTTACTGATTTAGGCCTAGAAAAATGAAGGGTAATCTATTGTTTTAGGATCGTAAAATCGGCCGAGACTAGAATCTAGATCTAGATCTAGATCTAGTTAGTTAACAAAAAGTGACTGATTAAACTTTAGTAATTAGATCTATTTCACATTTTTAGGAGGAATTATTTTTGAACAATTGTTTTAAAACTTTTCAGTAATAAATGAAGACTAGCGATGTTTTCATCAGATGCAACCAAGCATATAAAAATATTTACTTTAGCAGCCATCTTTTTTTTTACTTGCGGGAGGGGATGGGGGCAGTGACCGCGGCAATTTTTAAAAACAATTCTTGGTTTTCAAGTTTATTTTTAAACATTTCAAACTTATTGTAACCATATCATAATTATTTTGTGTCATGAGGTAGAATTACCAAGTTAATTACAAGTAAATATTTAAATAAAAGCGTGTGTATGAAGTGCTCACTTGGTCAAGTGTGTTGGGCTAACGGTCAGCGAGACCACAAAAATGGGGAAGAGGCCGTTTGTTTTCGAAACACATGCAGCGTAAAGTTGAGTAAAAGTAATGTAATGACGTCAAGTTCATTAGCCGAATTTATCCGATCCCATAAAGTCGTTGATAGCTAGACAGCCACAAATGATAGTCTAAAGTTCCAAAATTTTGAGGACTTCATAAGCGGATGACCCCTAGTGGGAGATTTAGGGGAAACCACTCTAATTTACAGATGACCGTTGTTTATAAACCAAAACTATAGCAATTCTTGCTTGCAAACACTGCTATTTAAGGTTAATTTTTGGCATATATTGCTATATTTAGTCATTGGTTTTGGTTTATTATTCAGTTATCTATAATATATCACACAAATAAATCCCAATATACTTATATTTAAGCCTTAACAATGAGGCAACTATTTCGCACATTACTAACAACTAGTAACAACCAGCCTCAGCCGATTTTACGCACCTAAAACGCGGATAGATTACCACATTGTATTAAATAAAACTGAGAATGAAAGCAAATATTTATTTTTCCAAGTCTATTTGGCTTAGCTATTTAGATCTAGATAGATCTAGATTCTAATAACTAGATCTATTAACTTTTTGTAACTATTTACAAGTATGCTACTCAAGTAGAGTAGGCCTATTTAGAATTCAGATATTTCATTAAGACATTAATTTAATACATGAAACTTGTCCACAAATTTAAAATACACAATTATCAATTAAAGTACCTGTAAAAAATAATAATTTAATAATAGGCCTACTTGTTTAAAACTGCATTTGAAATATATGTTTAAAAAAAACACCTAATAAAAACCAGTATTATGTTAAAAAATTTAAACAGAACATCTACAATTTAAGTATGTGACACATTTCAAATTTCAAGAATGTGATATTAGTTAAATAATTTATTTATTTGTCATAAGTTGGATTTGAGTAGGTTTTGCTTGCATCACTACACCTGCAATAAAGAATAAAAATAAGCTAATTACTTTTAAATATGAATAGTTAGTTTATACTTAAATTATACTCTAAATATTTTAGTTCTTATCAATGATAAAAATAAAAATTTAATTATTATAGTTTCAGAAAGTATATATTCCTTCTCAATACAATGTCACCAAATTTGTATTACATTTAAATAATATCACTAATAACCATTATCAGTTTAAATGTGCATTATTGTTGATGCTTTGATCTTATTTTAAGTACAAATATAAAATTTTCTCACTCTTTCGGGAAACCTTGATATACCAACTGTGATATTTGAGATGCATCTAAGTTAGCTTCATAAGTTTCTCTTTTATGCTTCTTTGAATATTTTCCAACAACAACTCCAATAACAATGCATGCAACCACAAACAGTGTTAATCCAATAGTTAGCCCAACAATAAGACTTATGTTAACTGGAACAGTTAAAAAACAATTCTAAATAGTAAACTGCCAAACTATTAAAATTGGTCTACGTTTTCTACTGTTGTAAGACTTAACTGTTGCTTCTTAATAACTATATTATATTTTTCCAAGCTATTCACTAAAAATTAGAATGATAACTAAAAACAAAATTACATGCCTATTGTAGGCTATAATTAACAGTAATTTTAAAAAAATAAAAATTACCTTTATCAACTGGTCTGAAAGAAATTAAACAAAATATATGCTTATTTCAATTAGGGATAGCAGTATATTTTAGTAAAGTCAAATCTAGTATTTCTATGTGAAATCTACAATTACAAAGCTAACATAATGCGAGCATAAAAGCTTAACATTGTGTACCCCTTATAGAATTTAATAACTCAAACTGAATATTTAGTTGTACATCTCATCCACGTTATTTTACCTGCAAGTGGCTAAATTGTAGTCTAGATAGCATTCTTCATTCTCTTTACATGGAATTATTTTATATCTTGCTTCACAAGATAAGATGGAAACTATAAAAAAATTGTGCAATGATGTAAGTGGAAAGTAAAGCTTAAGTTATGTTTCTAGTAATATATATATATATATATATATATATATATATATATATATATATATATATATATATATATATATATATATATATATATATATATTGAACATTAATCTATTCGAATGATGTTAATTGTTTTCTAAATTCTATATGTTAGACTTTATTTAGAGTTCCCAAGTTAAATTTTTAGCCTTTAAAATATATTTTTATTTTACTTCTTTTAATATCAAATCACCATAATTAGACTATATTATTGAAAGAAACATTATTTTAAATGTAACATATTTATTTAAATAACAATGGAGTTGATGAAGCTGAGATTTTGTTGGTGCTGCAATATCTTTTTTCGATTATATTTAAATCTACAAATATGATTTTGGTTATCTGCACTAATCTTTTAATATTGCAAAAACTAAACAATGAAAACCTTTTTTTTTCCTTTTACAAGTCTTCCAGTTGTTTTTTCAATTAATTTAGGCCACACTCACAACATAGCGATAAAGATCTTATTTTACTGAACTTATAAAAATGTAAATTTAAAAGTTCAAAATCTTTCAGACTAACATTTTAAACTTCTGAACATATTAAATCATTTTCATATAAACCTCATGCAGTAACTGATAAACAACTATTATAGAAAGCATAACTGAAAATAGTTTACTGTTGTTAAAATATTTTTGTCCAAGTGCTACTCTTGAAAGCCAGAATCACTCAGTATTTTGTTATAAATAATAGGCTTCATGTATTTCAATACTTCATAGTAGTTGCCTCCAGTTTTTTAAGTGATTTACATTCCAGGTATCAAAATAACTAAATTAAATTGCTGATTTACATTAATTTCAAACATTAACCTTTAAACGTATAGCAATAATAGATGTATTTCAGTAAAATTACAAAAACACCAGTTAATTTTGAATATAACTCACCATTGCTTCTGTCAACTAAAGCCTGAAGTATGTAAACAAGCTGTCCATCAAGTGTTATACCATCTACAATGATAGACTGTAGAGCTAAAGTGATTACATCCAACGTATTGGTATTTTTCAGAAGAATCACATCTACATCAACAATCAGACTTCCTTTTCTATTCATGTGATAGTTTTTTAGATATTTTATTAGACATAGAAAAAAACAGAAGTAGGCTTTAATTTAAAAAATCAGTGGGTTTTTTTTAATAAAGTAAGTAAATAACAAATAAAATGTTTCAAAATAACACAAACCTCATATTTTTAACAGTTATGCTAAATATGAAAGAAGATTGCCGCTTCAATTTGGCTAATAACTGCAATAACAAAAATTATTTTGTGATGAAAAAAAATGTATTAAAATAAAAACAGTAAGTTGAAAAGCATCGATATAAAGAAATTTTATTTTGGTGGTGTTTGAAAATCCTCATGAAAACATATCCAATTAAAAATGTTATCTTTTGAAATGTATTGGCTTTTATTTCAGTTAACAATGTCTTTTTGTTTGCTTGCTTGCTTGTCTATGGATTTGTGGGCGAAATTTGTAACTCAATTTTGACTTACTTCTAATGAGGAAAACCTTGTATTTACATTTTTCTTTGATGATAATGCAAAGATATCTAATTTGTAGTCTAATTTAATATAAATCTAACCTCCAAAATATATTTAAAAGATTAATAAAATCAATTAAAAAGGAAAGACAACAAGATGAACTTTTACAGCATTAAGAGTAAATTTAGAACACATTCCAAAGCAAGGAACATTTATTATTAATATGTATAACTTAATCATTAAGTTATAAATAAATGCACATTTAATAATATACAGGTAACATTTATATATTATGCAGAGCTATGGAATAATATAGAAATATATTTACCGCATCTTCAACTTGGACTTTTATTTCTTTGTAATCATTACTATTAATGTCTTCTAAGTTTTTTTTAGAAGCATCAAAATTGAAGACAATGGTTATTTCACGTGCAACAAGCTCTGTCAAAAATATATATTAAAATGTTAATATTATCTTTATTTTAAAAAATACAATATTACAGTAAATTTACATAGGTATGTATACAATAAAATTAGTGTACAAACAAACTAGGTATTATCTAATGTTTTGGTAAAAAGTATGTAGCTAAAAACTTCGTCTTATAATTTATAAATATAAAATCTGAAATGTCTTGCCTTCACATGTAATATTATCTGGATTTTTAGTGTAACCTTCATTACAGGAACAACTGTACCCTCCATCATTATTAATACAAGAAGAATGAACTGGACACTGGTCAGATGTTTGTTTACATTCATCAAAATCCACATCACATCTGGTTCCATTCCATCCTGTCTTACAGACACAGCTACCATTTGTTTTATCACACAGGTGAGTGTTGGCTGCTACACAGGTACAGGTGTGTGAGCAGTCTTGGCCCCATTTGCCTTCAGGACACTCTGTATCATTAGTAAATGTTTCATTGAATTTATTTTTCACTCAGTTTATTTTTCAGTCTTACAATAAACAACTTTTGCTAATAATCTTAAAGCTAAAATATACAAATTTATTGTATATGCTGCATCACTAAAATGTTGATACCATATTTAATACATAAATAATATACATAATTTATTATAATATACAGTTTTCTGTACATTAAAATACAAATCTACCTTCACATTGGCATGTGTCACATGACTTTGAGTAACCAATCTTGCAGGAGCATTCATAGCCTCCATCTTTGTTTACACAGACTTGCAGTTTACCCTGACTACATGTGTGTGTACCTTCCTGACATTCATTGACGTCTGTCTCACAAGCTGGTCCACGCCAGCCAGGCTTACAGTAGCAGCTGCCATTGACATTGTTGCATGCAGCGTTTGGTGGACAAGAGCAGCGGAGTGTACATGTTGGACCATAGAAGTCTTCATCACAGGCTGCATAAAGAGAATAAACAATTTTAATTTATCAATGTACCCATCTACTCACTTTTTTAAAAATAAAAATTAGGAGCTATTTTAATGCCAGCTGTTTATAGCAATTGTACATTAAAATTAAAAACAAAGTATTTAAACTGTAAAGTCAGAATTTCCCGTACCCTGACATGTAGTCTGGTTGATGTTCACAAATCCAACATCACAAGAACAGACGTAGCCTCCATCAGTGTTGGTACAGTGTGAATGTACAGGGCACACGTTGGAGGCCGTACACTCATCAATGTCTTCTCCACATGTGCTGCCATTCCACCCAGGCTTACAATGGCAGTCGCCAGTTTTTTTATCACAGAATTGTGTGTTAGTTGTTACACAGCTGCAAGTTTTGGTACATCCACTTCCCCAGGTACCCGCATTACATGCTGTAATATCATTGAATATATAATGATTTTACTTACAACTACCTTTTTGACTTATTTAAACTGAGTGTGAAAAGTAGCTTACTGAAATGGGCTTGCAATAATTTTGTTTTTTAGAATAGGAATAAGAGTAATTAAATTTGATAAAATACATTACTACATACCTTTGGCATATCATAATATTCTATCTAATAGTGAGGAAACTTGTAGTTAACTAAAGTAACAAGCTAATTAAGAAAATACTACACCAATTTGAAAAAACTTTTTTACTTATAGTTTTAAGAACACGACAAATGTTACATTACACTTCAATTAAAATTAAAATAAGATAATTATAACAAAATAACTAATAAAATAATCGTTTAAAATCATTTTAATGTTGTTTTTTTTTTTTCAAAACTCGACTTTTGTTAGAATTACTTTACATGATTAAAATTTTACCAGAGCAAGAGAGTCCATTAGAATCCAACTTTTCTCCCAGCCCACACACACATTCAATGCTGGTGTTGTCTCTGGTCTCAACACAACCAAAAGTAAAAGGGCTGTTGGCACATAGGTCTACATCTGTTGAGGTTAAGTTTATTTTCAACATAGGTCTACATCTGTTATGTTTAGTTATTATTGCAATATAGGTATAGAGACTACATCAGTTTAAGTTTAATTTGAACATAGGTCTACAGCTGTTTGGGTTTATTTCAACATATTTTTAACATAGTTCTACATCTGTATGGGTATAGTTTAAATTTGTATTCACATACAGATCTACTTACCAACACAGTCTAGTCCATTTGTTGCCAAAATTTTCCCCTTGGGGCAAAAGCAGGTTTCAACATTATCCATTACAGCACATTGGTAGCTGCAGTTGGTTTTGGTTTTGCATGGAATTGTAGCTGAGGTTGTATAAGTTAATTATATTAAACTAAAATAATTTTTTTTAAAAACAAAGTTATGAAAATACTCTTTAAAAAACAAAACAACTGATGTATTGATTTATTTTGCTCAAATGAAAGAGAATCATTGTAAAATATTTCATTGAAAAACAATAATAGTTAAATTTCCTACCTCTACATGTGAGACCATCTTGCTGGAGGTACAGGCCAGATGGACAGGAACATCTGTAGCTTCCTTCTGTGTTGATACAAGTCTGTTCACACCTGGATAAACCTTGGTCACACTCGTTTATGTCTGGAACACATAATTATTGTCTTTCAAAAAATGTGTAATTATGGATTCTTTTTTAAATTTTAAGAATTATCAAATATGTTTACACAATTTAATTTGTATATGTTTTATTTTGTTAAACTATTTTGAAGAATGTAAACTTAACTTAACTCCCACCAGTCAAAGATAATATTTATGTTATTCAGGTAAAGCTTATGTGTTACACGTGGAATTTAATTTTTTAAATAAAAAAAAAAAACAATGCTATAGACCTACCAACTTCTATTTTTTAAACAGCAATATGTTGGTTCATGAAATTGATTATTCAGTAATTAATATTTTCTAAGAAGCTTACCCTCACACATCTGTGTTGTTGAATTAAATGCATACCCTGCATAACAAGAGCAAATGAATCCTCCTTCAATGTTGGTACACACCTGACTGCAGTCATTAGTTAAGAAACTGGTGCACTCATTTATATCTGGATAACACAGCAAATAATTTTTTTTTAATTCAATAAATGTAAACAATTATGCTTGCTGAATTAAAAAAATGTAATTTAAGCAGTGAAAAGTAAAAAATGGCACATAAAACGATAAAAATAAATTAAGTTTCCCAATTATTTTAGAAGTAGTCTATTTTGTAATTTGTTTCTCATCTGTAGTTTCCCAATTATTTTAGGTGTCTATTTTGTAATTTGTTACACAAATGTATGTAGTTTCCCAATTATTTTAGAAAGTGTATATTTTGTAATTTGTTACATAATTGTTTTTACTCATCAGTTTTTGTTATGTTTCAATTAAGCCAGTCATAACTTTATAAGCAAGTCACCTGTACACACTCCATCTTTTCTCAAATATCCATTCTGACACTGGCAGGTAGCAGAACCAGGTAGATTAACACATTTTTCTTTAGCTCCACAAGTTAAATTTCCACTGCTACATTCATCAATATCAACTGAGCAGTACTTTCCTTAAATTGTGAGATAATAATATGTTGAATATAGTTAGATTTACGGAGAAAGAAATACTTAAACAACAGGTTTTTTTTAGTATGTGTAGACATTTATTGTTCCTTTACCTGTGTACCCCTGTTTACAGACACAACCAACTTTTGGATCACAGTGATCTGCCCCTGACCCACAGCTACAAGACTGAGAACACTGAATGCCCCAGGTTTCTCCACTACAAGCTAAATTAATTCAAAAGAAAACAAAACAAAAAGTTAACTTTTTTTAAAAATGTGTTATATAATCCAATCTGTTCTTGTAATTTCAATATGTAATTACTAAAATAAAGAATTTTTTGTTGCACATATATTAATTTGTTAGTTTGTAATAAATATTAATATTGTACAACCAGTAAAACCTCATACCATATATAATTTAAACTCAATCTTTTTTTTTGTCACAACAACAAGTACAATATGGTAAACTTTTATATAAGTAATATTGTTGATACTATAAACAATTATTCTCATCAAAATTTTAAAATGTCACAATCCAAACTTACCAATGCATGTGTGACCATCATTGTCCAGCTTGAATCCTGATGGGCAGGAACATGTGTAGCTGCCATTAGTGTTTACACATCCATCTCTGTTTGAGCAATGGTTGTCAATATTTGACTCACATTCATTGATGTCTGTGAATATTTTATTTATAGCTAAAACTTATAATTAATTATAAATCTTAATTGTGTTTAGTGAAAGTAAATTTACCTTCGAATTATTTTTGATTTCATTAGAAATCAATTATGTGTTGTTGTTTTTTTAACTGATGAAATAAATAAAGCAAAAAACTGAATGCTAAACTGTAAATTTAGTAGACATTTTGACATTTCTTGGTATTTCAAATATACCATCAAAACTCATCATATATTGGGTCAGTTTAATAGCATAGCTATAAAAAATATTTTAAAATATTTAATGCAAGCTAAATTTCAGTTCAGATTAGACTACAGCTGGATGCATTTTTCAATAATAATGACAAAACGGATATTTCTGATTGTACTCTCAACCTTATATGAATATGCTAAGGTGTTAGAGGTTAAATCAATTAATATATTATTATAATTTTAAACATTTAAAAATGAAACTAAATACAATATAGAAAGTCACATATTGTTTTATACCTAAAACTGATGTCCTTACCTTCACAATTTTCTTGTCCAGTAAGTTTGTATCCTCTAGGACAGTAGCAGTAAGGTTTGTTATCTACATCCACAACACAGCCATAGCTACAGTTTACGTTAAATCCTTGACAAGGGTCTCTCACTGATGATTGATGATGTGATAATCAAAATTCTTAATTATTCAGTTACCCATTACTGACTAATATTTCAGCTCTAATAATATACAATTTAACTATATTATTAAATTCAATATATTACTACTACCTTGGTTTTTAATTGCTAATGATTGGATAAGTAATATGAATTAATATTTATATGATTCTATACACAAATAACAAACATGTCCATTTAATGAATTACAAGTGAACCAACTGTAGGACTGAAGGTCACAGCAATAGAATGATATCAAACAATAAATAGCTGGAGAGGGAAAGTACTGAATATAATATTATTAATTATAGCTTTAAAGTTACCTTTCAGACATGAAAAGCGGTCATCTGCCAATGTGTAGCCTTGTCGACACAAACAATTATAAGACCCAGGTTTGTTTTCACACACCTGTTCACATTCATCAGCTTTGGTCAAACATTCATCAATATCTGAAACAATAGAGGGCATATGACATTAGTCATACACTCATCAATATCTGAAACAATAGTGGTCATGCCCCATTTATATTACATTCAATCAATCTGAGTTACAATCAATATTTTTTCATGCACTTTCAGTCAGACATGTTTTACATTCAATATATTTGTATTTCTATTAAAATATTGTATTTTAACATTAAATTTGCTTGCATTTTCCATTTTAAGATGATATATTTTAACCTTAAGCAAAATTGACAATACGAGATAAAAATAAGCCTGTTTGATTACAATATTATAAATATGAAAACAATACATGCCTACCTTGACAAACAGCTAGAGAATTTCTGGCAAATCCTTTCTTACACTGACAGCTGTAGCTGCCCACTGTGTTGACACAAACCTCCAGCATTTTGTCACAAGTTGTGTTGACAAAAATATCTTTACATTCATCAATGTCTGGGGAGAGTATATTTTCTTGCTTGATAATTTTATAAATAATTATTTTTTATCCAGCCTTCTTAAAACGGTCTTTATAAAAGTTTCTCAATTTTTTATTGCACACTTTTGTTTACCAAAGAAGGGAAACAAATATCTAACTCCAGAAGTTCTAAAATCTTTGAATCTATTTTTTAAAAATGACATGTATAAGTGTCCACCAAATTATGGTTTGATTCATGTATGCATAAGAGATGAGTTATTTCAATTTTAGATCCTGTAAGTTATGAAAAGACGTACCAAAGTGAGTTACTACCTGTACAGATTCCATTAGTTAACCTGTAGCCCTCAGCACAGACACAGGTGTATGAGCCAATTCTGTTTTTACAGACAAAACCAGCTGGACATGGGTTGGACTGGTCACACTCATCAACATCCAGCTCACAGTGGTCACCTGTCCACTCTTTATCACAGACACAACCTCTAACAGAGTCACATGACCCATGGCCACTACACTGGCAGATTTGGCCACAATTGGTTCCGTAGTAGGGTCTTTCACAGGCTGAATAAATTAATTATTTATACAGAAATTTTAATAAAATAAAATAATAGCCTTGTCAGATAAAATACAATAATTTAAATTTGAACTTAATATTTGAAGTTTTTGTAAGTAATTAAAAACAGTTTTGTCACAATAAAATAGTGTAGAAAAACATGTAATTTTGTTCATTATTAATCTGAGGTTTTGAAAATTTTTAAATGACATGTCTTCATTTGTAATAAAAATAACAAACATTTTTTAGCATTTTTAAACGCAATAAATAAAAAAATGAAATGCAAATGCTATAAAATCTTATCTATTAACTTTTTAAAGTAAATTTTAGGAAAAACATGAAAATTAAACTTACTGTTTTACAAAGATTTTTTTTTTTAAATAAAACTTCACTAAATTAAAAAAAAACAAACTTTTATACCATGACAAGAAATCCCATCACTGTCCAGTTTGTAGCCATTATAACATGAGCATTCATATGTTCCTTCAAGATTTTCACAAATCTGGCCACATGGCTTGTTACCATACTCACATTCATTTATATCTGTGGAAGTGGAGGTAAGGTAAATACACTTTTAAATAGCTGATTTTAGTAAATCAACTATATCAATAATATAAGGTGAATATTAGTTCTATTGTTTAAAAATATTATAATTATTAACAAACATTGTTCTAAAAAAATTATTTGTGCTAGTTTAAAGTACACAAAATGTTTGTGCCAAGATAATTATAATAGAAACCAAATATTGTAAATTAAAAATAAAGATGTTGGTTGTAAAAGTATCAAGTGAATAATAAATTGATTGGTGTTTTATGAAAAAAAATTGTTTTTTATAATATAGTTACCTCTACAATTACTGTTATCTTTAGGATCAGGTTCAAACCCCAATCTACAGCTGCAGTTTACCTGATCATTGTTGACATAACAAACCTGGCCACAGTCATAACATTTGCTGATTAAAGAATCATCTGGTGATGGAAAATAAAAGATGTGATAGACCATCTTTAGTAGTCTATAAGATGAACAAATCAGATTTTTGGCAAATACTATTTTGTAATTTATAATTTTGCAATGTAACTAGTGAAAGATTAAGTTTTGTTTTAAAGTGAGTTAAACACTTTCTTAAACGATTGACAAAAAGTAGTTTATGGTTTCAAATAACTTCTGATTTCTGAGAGTTAAACCTAATTGCAATTACCTAAAGTACATGTTAGACCATTGCTGTCTAAGGTGTATCCAGTCTGACATGAACAAGTGTAGTTGCCAGCTGTGTTGGTACAAATCTGTTGACATTTGGATGATCTCTCCTCACATTCATTGATGTCTAAGGGGATGTTAAACATTATTTTATAGTCATGTTAATGTTAAAATTGTATTACTATCTTTACTTCAACATATTCATGTTTTGATAGAGTGTATGTATTCTAGTCTTAACTTCACCTGTGCAAGTTTTCTTGTCTCCAGTATCCAGCCTGTAACCAGGTCTACATGAGCACATGTAAGAGCCTTCAGTGTTTGTACAGGTTTGGCTGCACATGCTTTCATCACTGCACTCATTTACATCTAGTTTACAAGAAAATTTATAGTTAGAATAATTAGCTATAAAGAAATTCAATGCTATGAAATAAAAATTACAACAAATATAAAGGTGTTAAGTAAATTAGTGTTAATACATAAACCATTTGATACTCTGATGTGCAGTCAATTATTACATTGTTTAAAGATAAATTTGATAGGTTATTGGTATTCTAGATGTTTTCACCTAAACATAACCCTTCATAATCTACAAAACCAGGAGGACATTTTCCACAAACATAACCGACTGAGTTGTTTCCCTGTTGTTGAGCTGTTAGGTCTGTGCAGTTCTGTCCCTTGGAACAAGGTTTTATAGCACAAGCATCCAGCTCTGATTCACATTCAACTCCTGTGTGAAAGAATGTGTAGTAAAGTAAAATCAGACAACATATATACACAATTTAATGGTACATACAGTTAGATAGATATTTTAAGATTTAAAAGTTTTTTTTTTTTAATGGTAATAGTTGCACTATTTCTTCTATATTTTTTTATATATTAATATATAGGGCCTATTTCAATCTATACTTCACATGGTATTGTATGAAAGGTAATCATTAGTTAATTTTAAGACTACATAGATTAAGACTTTATGAAAATTAAATGAATACAGAAAGTATAATTTGTTAATTGTTAAAAATGTATGATAAAAGATAAAACATGAATATTTACCCGTGTAAGCTGGATGACAACTACAGGCCAGGATCAGGAACATTCCTTTAAAAATTTCCTCTCTAGTTCTATTTATATCACAAACACCATGACCACTACAGAGTGGGCAAACACTAACTGGGATGTACAACAGTGGAGAGTAGGCTCCCTTCGAGTCTTTGACACGAACTCTAGTTGATAAGATAAACGTCAATAATTTCATTTATGAAGATCTATATACTATTAGGTTAATCATATATAAAACCATAATTATTTACAAAAAAAACTTTAAATACTCTTCTTATATAGTCCTTCATCTGTAAACCAATAATTAAAAACGTAAAAACTAACTGTATCAAGACAGGTTTCTTGACATCTGGTGTGTAGGTGATAACACCATTCTTATCGAACTTGACATCTGTGATGTTGCCACTCAGCTCAAATGTGACGTCATCTCCATCCCCATCTATTCCTACAACTTGTAAAGTTGATTGTGTCCCTTGTTTTACATTCCATCTGCCTCCATTGTTTAGGTTTTCTTTCAGTGCTATGGCTGGAGGGTTGTTTTCTAATCACATTAGAAAAAGAAAAGGATATTGTTTAAGTGAAATAAAGATCTGACTTATGCAACTGATAGCTTGTTTATTATTTAACTGAATTAATATCGCTGTTTACAGATTTATAATATTTATCTTTAACTTTAATTTGCTAGCAAAAATTATGATTATTTTAATAGTAATAAAAATAATGCCACGAATATATGTTTCACAAGTTATGATAGTTAACATATAGGAAAGATTTGACAGTTAGAATTAAAAAACACCGAGCACAAATTAAATGTTTTTGATTAAATATAATTGCTTTGCCTATAAAAATAATAATTTAATTACCCAAACTTTGAATGATGACAACCATCTCATCAAATTTGGATTTAGTTGCAGCAGCAAATCTCTTGTCCCCAGTCACCAAATAATCAAAGATACACGGGTCGTTTTTACTGCCACAGATTTCAACAGCTTTGGCCACTTCTGTTTCATTAGCTTCATCTCTAAACCAGGGCACGTGATCTGGGTGCTGGTAGTCCAATAGAGTTTTGCCTTGCTCGAATTTATAAACACAGTTGGAGGAATTCACTAGCCCTGGAGTGGACATGTTAAAATAGAATTTAAAATTTTATATGCTGCACATTGACGAATATGTTTAATTAGACATTAAAGAGAATACTTTATAATTCCATTTAAATATTGTACATGTCTTGTTTTCCATTAATTATCAGTATAAAAATAAATTTACTTTAAAAATTTTATTACATTGTTTAGCAAACTGGTAATAAATTTCCCTTTCACTTAAGTTTGACGGAAGAACTTGTCCATTAGGAAGGATGAACTCATCTGTCTTGATACCATTAAAGTTTCCCAGCAAACCTCGAGTTTTGTTTTGGAGTTCCTTAGAGACCTCAAACATAATCTCCAGACTTTTTACAGCAACATTCACTTCTATGCTGACACCTAGCGATAGAATCAAAGCAATTCGTACTTTCAATATTTAAACTTAAAAGTTTAGAGGAGGAGCACAAGATAACAATTAAAATTGAATACTACAGAGCATTTTGACCTAAACAGAATCCACTATGAAAGGAATAATATAATGATAAAAGCAAGTTGAATTAATTTTAAAATAATCAGTTTGTAGATCAATGTTATCAATCTTTGCACGCTGTATTAGTTTATACTCATGCACTTGCAGAATGTGTACCTTGTGCATCTAATAGTCGTAGAGATTGTGGCAGATGTGTATAAAGAGATTTTCAGGAGAGATTGAGTACACAATTAACTCTGTGTGTATTACTAATTTTGTTGGAGACATATCATCCCATTTAAGATATTCTACAGCTTTGCTTTGACTGCTAGATATCAAGTGAATAACTATGTGGCTAAGCACCTGTACTTTTAACGAAAGTCACCACACCACTAGAGAATGACGGGAATAGAAACGTATTTTTAATTTTTTTCAATATGGTGATATAGCATCTGTTTGAGTTAATAACAATAAGATTTAAGAGTTACCTGTGCACACCGTTAAGAAAAAATTAAATAACTTCAAATTTATGTTGCATAATTTCTCAAATAATAGTCACTAATTTGTTCTCTCCCTTCCTATATTTTTACATCTTTTTTATACTTAAGTTAAATAATACTAAGCCTAGACTAGAATATATTAAACATAAAAACTCAACCTGAGGCAAAACTGGCCACTGCTATAGATTTATTGGATCTGTATTCCCTGATGACACTGAATGAGTTAGTGGACACAATAACATCTGAGTCAACGTTCTTGTAGAAATCATTTGTGATATCGATACCATTTACCCACAGCAACATAGCTGGAAAATACAGTTATAAAAGAGTTTTTATTTATCAATTATTACCTTCAAAAAATATATTTTAAAACTGGTAAATAAAAGAGATAAATGTGTGTTATTCAAAGGTAATTTAAGTACATTATTAAAACTAACATGTATTTGATGCAGCCAATTCAATTTGAAAGTGTGTATCGTTAGACTCTTGAGCTGCAAATCCTGTAAAAACTGTGGCGTTAGTTAGGGTACCTGAGCTGCTTTCAACCTGCGATGTCTTGGCCTTTAGTGAAAGAGCACAACTGATAGTTAAAGTCATATAATTTAATGAAATAAAAAATTTACACGATTCAATCATAGAAAAAAAATTATAAAATGCATTCAATATGATAGATATAATATTGTTTTTGAAATTTAAAAATATAAATAGCTAGACCAACTTGTAAAGTAAACTGTTTGTCCATGGTCTTGATCATGGTAAAAATACCAAGTCCATTCATAGCATAAGTGACACCATCCAATGTCATAATGTGAGGGTCGCCTAGTGCAGAAGCTATAGGCATAGATTTTTATTTTAAAAATTATTAGCAATCAATTATAAAAAAAACAATATTTTATCTAAAGTTTAGTACTAACCTGGCACAAATTCAACAAAATTTGAACATCCCATATCTGGAAAAATCTGGTAAAACCGGTTACAAAGTTTGACTTGACTAGAGTCTACACAACACCATTGGTGTGCTTGTATATTTTCTAGAGCTTGAAAGTTATCGAAGTATCCCATATGCCAAGGGTCATTGATCAAAACATGTCCAGAGTCTGGGGATGCTGGGATATAAGAAGCTTCCAGCCATGATTGTTGCCAGTCTCTCCAATCGCCATTGGCTGGTTTTGTCCAATGGTAACAGCACAGCTATGTAGAACCATTTTGAAAAGTGGAAAACAAAAAAGTAGATTAATATTTTTTAAAATCAAATTGATTTAAAAATTGAAGTAAAGTATTTGAAACAAGATTTCTTCTACAACTAAATATAATATTTACCATATTCCTTTTGTTTCCCTGCAACAACCTGAACTTAGCCAGACTGCTGATGGCGTAGCAGTAAACATCTTGTTTCTCCCCACGTCTCTCATAGAGCTGCCACTGACGCCCAAGTCTCTCCAGTGTACAGGGGCACTTGTACAGCTGACGCTTCTCAAACTCGTACACAGGGTCAGTCAGAAGGTCAGTGTGTTGGCACAGATATTTCTCACACATCTGGTCTGGCCCAGATACCTTACCCACCTCAAAACTTATGACACCATTCAAACCTAAGAATTAGAACGCAACTACAGTTAAAACTTTAGTCATAAAAAACATTTGGTGAAATTCTATACGATAAAAAATACCACACATTTATGATATTATTTAAATCTGTAAAATGAAACTCATGACAATTATTTCAACTTTGACCTAGCCAAATTATAAGGTTTATATATTGTTCTATTGCATTTTACAATTTTAATTTTTTTAAATTATGTAACGTTTTTGGTAAATTAAAGTCACCACGGTATGATATCCATTATATTATAGTTTGTAAAATAAAAATACCTGTATTTCCAGGTACTTTATCCAAGTCACCAGTTAAAGGCGTGTCCAGGTCATTTAGTGTTTTTATATTTTTACCAACAATTCCAATAGCCAAGGGTTTTCTAGGAACATAGTACCAAAACATTTTTCCTTGCTGGTAAATAAAAGTGACATAGGTAGACTTTTCATCTGTTAAAATATCAAAATTATTTCTTTTAGTTTTTGAAAGATAAAATTGATACTATTTTCTATGTAAATTTAATATTAAAAATATAGCAATACATTCACAATTAATAAAACTAAACACAATGTTAAAACAAATATATGGATATTTAAAAGTGTAATTAAAATTTGAAAACATGTTATACCCAATAAAATTATTTGTCCTTGTTTTCGTATTGTTTCCCAGCCGCTAACAATAATGGCTTGAAAAGTGTTTACTCTTGAATCCTGAAAGAAACAGCCATGAATTATTCATTGGTAGGAGAACATATCAGTAGCCAACATATTTAAACTTGTTGTGTGTAAGAGAGTAACCAATATATATATATATATATATATATATATATATATATATATATATAATATATATATATATATATATATATATATATATATATATATATATATATATATATATATATATAAGCGGGCTGGTATTGTCCGTCATTGCTATAGATTTTCGAACCATAAAAGTAAACATCGCACCATGCAGTGCTGTTTAGTGCATCGCAGTGTCTTATTATAAGTAATAGAGTAGGGTTTGTTTATATAACTACATCTATAATATAAGCGGGCTGGTAGTGTGTCAGCCTGTCGTCGCGATAGATTTTCGAACCATAAAAGTAAACATCGCATCATGCAGTGCTTTTTAGTGCATCGCAGTGTCTTATAACAAGTAATAGAGTACGGTTTGTTTATATATCGACAAAAAGTTATTTTAAAATTGCCCCTGTTTTTACTCTTTTCCATAAAGTAAAGAAAATATTAAATACACGCACATTGCTAAAACATATTAAAACAAGCAATGTCAAATATAATTTTCGTTTATATTCCTAGAAAAAGTAGATACATTTTAATAATATAATAACAGTAGGGTAGAAAAATCAAATTAATTTAACTCTTTTTTCCTAATTTTGACAAGGGAGGTAATTTAAAAATAAATTAAACCCACGCTAATTTTTTTTAAAATGTGAATGCAAATTTATGGACGTCCTAGTAGGAATTAGTGTTGCGATAATATAGCTAATTAAGTTGCGCTACGGGCTAGAATGTGAGCACTATGCGTTTATTTTTGCATTTAAGTTCTGTTTATGTTATGAGTGTTGAGTTAATATTTTCATTTGTATTTTTATTTGCGTTTGTTTTTTCTTTTGTGATAATGTGTTGCGTTTGTGTTTTCGTTTGTATTGGCATTGTATTTATGTTTTCTTTGTTTTCTTTTGGATTTGTGTTTTCTTTTGGGTTTTTTTTTTTTTGGGTTTGTGTTTTGTAGTTTTGAGTTGATCTGTTCCCAAGTTGGTATATTTAAAAAAGTTTTACCGTGGCGGAGCACCGGTATGCAGCTAGTATATTATATATATTGGATTCTCTCTCTCTCTCCCTATATATATATATATATATATATATATATATATATATATATATGAGAGGTTGTTTATTATTCATACCAATTAGATCGAGTAATTTCAAGTAGCTTTCATTGAGACTTTTCTTGCCAAACTATAGAGTTTAATCTTATTCCAACGGGAAAACTAAAGCCATACCTATAATTAATTTAAAGAGACGGATACCCGACTTAGATTTACCACGGCCTTATTTAAATATGGTAGGGAAAGAAATGTGTAATAAATGGGTTGAGATTTAACCTGCTTGACCTTTCGGTTTTACATAATACACGTACGTAAATGCATCAAGAATTGAAATTTTGATTTTAATCGTTCTTTGACTAAAATAATCGAAGTAAACGCTTAAATAAAAGAAAAATTTCTTTAAATTTTATAAAGAATATTTTCCAACTAGCTTGAAAAATAATTAATAAAGACTAATGATTAAAAATGAGTCACAGCGTTTTGTAATAGTTCAACCTTGTGTAACGCAATGTAGTATAATGTCGCTGGGCGTCGACTCTAGGAGTGCCAAAATGGGTCGAAAAAAATTAAAAACTCATTTTAGCTGCAGTTTTGAATTTTAAATATAATAAATATATGGGGGGGGGGGGGGTGACAAATTGAAAGTGTGTTCCAGGGCGCCGGTTGGGGTCGCTACGCCTCTGTGTTTTAGATATACCTTAATTTGGATATAAATAAATATCTGCAACAATTCATTCGATTTTTTTTTCATTTCGTATAGTTCTGTTCTAGAATTAATAAATTAATAAGTTTACTGGAATGGTGCACTCACTACTAATAATTATACAGCGTTTCAATTATTCCAACTACTATATAACATTCGGTTTTATTTATAATGATGTGACATGGATTTTCAATATCATTTTTTTAAAATTATGACGTACTTATGTTACAAACAGTGTTATTTAGGAAATGACAGGATATGTGTACATTAATTTTATAGTCAGTCACGAAAATGTAGAGCTTTTTTCAATTTTCTTTAAATGTTTTTAAAATCATTTTTAAATTAACTATACATGCATTAACATGTGTATTTAGACATGTCTATACCGTTGAAGTAAAGTCTAGCCGGCAACAGCTAGTTAGAAATAAAAGCTATAAGTGTAGAAAAAAATTAAACTAAAAAAATTCGTAGTTTACTTTGCCAGAGATTAAGGGCGGTTGAACATTCTCCCATGTGACAATCATAACTGTATCTAATTCTATCCCAGAAAGGTCATGAAATTTTGCTATGTCTTCTTTCGCTCTTTTCGTCACATTGCTGAATTCTGGTGAGCTCTGATTGGATGCTTTGCCGCAGTTTTCGTAAAGATGGTAATACACTTTTCCTTAAAAGCAGATATTAAAAGAAAAAATAATTTATCATATTCATAGAATATGAAATATCCCAGAAGTGGGGATAAAAATCAATGACTACTCTACGTTGTTATATTAACTTTTTGTCTAAAGAAATAAGAATAATCGAACAAAGCAATAGTAATTTATAGTAATCAATGTTATTTTTTGTTTTTAAAAAGAAAAATTAATAAATGTGTAATCCACTTTTTCTAACTTGTTTAAAATCATTTTCGCATTTGGTAACTAACGTATTAAAGAAATGCTTTTCCCTCCACCATTTGGCCAACACTTAATCCTTCAACTCTGTAGTTTAAAATGTAAAATTTAATTATGATAAACTCGACTTTAAAAATCCGTAGGATGCCTATATTCAACAGACGGTGACAAGTAATTTTTAAAAGATAATTATTAATGCATTTTCAATAGTAAAACTAATTATCCTTTTTAAACAAAGACCTTTCAAAGGATTCATGTCAGTCCAAAATGGAGCTATGATGTTCATTTGTCTTTCCTGGGCAAAAGTTAGATCAGGTATTCCACTTAGCTCAGCGTTTGGTTGACCGAATGTAATCACACCATTATAGAAAACCTTCAGAACAAATATGTTAAATACATTGATAAAGTAGTTGCACCTATACAATAAACTGTCACAGATACAGCATTATACTCAATTTATTTGAAACCTTATTGAGTGAAACTTCTTTTTTTTAAATTAAATTCATATTTTCGCACAAAGATTTAGTGTCTGGTTTATTTATATAGAAAATGGCTTAGTAAAATTCTAATGGTAACGTACTCTAGCTTCAAACGTATATTTCTCTTCAAACGGAAGTCCACGTGAAAACATTATTGGCGGGCTAACAAAATATCCATTTAACTTTATTTGGTTATTTAAAACAACGTCTTGAGCTCTTTCACCATAGGAATAGAAGGGAACTGAAAATATAACATATATTTTATTACAAATAAAAAACTGTAATAAAACAGGTATTGGATAGTGAAGCATGGATTTTGTTTTTTAATGTATATTAATGCAATTCTTTGCGAGAACTGAATAGTATATTTAATTGTTGTTTGATACTCTGTAAATTTAAAAAATTAAATGAAAAGATGCAAAATTAAAACAAATAGCCATTTGTCGTTTAAAAAAAACATATACGCTTATGGGTTTACTTATACATGTTAAACAAGTGAATCAAAATAAATTAATCCATGGCTCCCCTATTAACTATTCAGATTTAAAGCTCATTTTTTATCGATGATATAAATTAATATCATCTTAGAATCAGTTGAAAATTAACTAACGAATGACCAGAAGTAAAAATGTGCCAGAAAAGTGAGTTATTAACATACCAACACATGTAAGTTGTGTCATACTTTCAAGCACCAGTCCTTCAGGACAAACACATTTCTCCACACCAGGACTTACAACATAGCAAGCATCAGAGCAATGTTTGATGATACATTGAGAACTTGCTGAAAATATATACTCAATTGCTAAAAAATATAACAAGTAATAACTTGTTTAAACAACTCTTAGAATTTCAACTTGTTATTATTAAAATTGTGTTGTGACTGACCATCACATGTTTTGGTTGTAGAGTTGTACACATATCCCAGGTGACAGTTACACCTGTAGCTGCCCAGCAGGTTGACACAGTCCGAGTTGTCTGGACACACCTTGTTGTTGGTACCCAGACATTCATTGACGTCAACAGAACAATCCCTCATGGTCCAGCCAGGCTTACAGATACACTCGCCATTGGTGTTGTCACAGAACTGGCTGTTTTCTCTCACACATTTACAGTTGGTGTCGCATGAGGTCACGCCGTAGGTAAAACTGCGACAGGCTAGATAGTTGAGTAAAATTTTAGTCATCAGAAACGCGTTTTAAGGTGGTGGTTAAAGGGAAGATAATTTGGGTGGCCGCTCAAAGCCATTCGTACAAAAATGCGCTGTGCTTTGTTTTTTTAGTTCATAAACTTAAGTAATGCATGAAATAATCATACAATTTGAAAAATTTAATAAGTGCTCCTTAAAACAATATCGGTCGCAGTGGAGAATTAACGATAATAAATTACTTGAAAAGATATCAGGTTGAAACGGAAGCAAAAGTCAACGTACTGGCCAACAATCAAGTATTTATTTAAAAACTGACCAATGATACGGTGACCGGCTACATGCTTTCAAAATATCGACGAGGAGCTATTTTTGCGATCAATACCAGCCAATCAAATTTGGCATAAAAATCATTTATTCTGTTTAATGGATCCTACTGGAAAACATAAAAAGTATATTTACTCCTGTAAATTATATTAAAGTCTATTGCATCCTACTTTACCTCCTCCACTCTATTCAACTCTACTTCACTCCTCTATATTCCTGTATACTCTCTGTGTTGTGTGATGTAGTGTGTGGTGTTTGTGTGAAAAGTGGTGTGTACGGTCGGTGAGAGATGAGTTCTAGGATGTGGAGGGTGGGTGTAGAAGAGTGAGGTGTGTGGGTTGTGTGGGTTGTGCTATGTGAGACATTGAAATATGGGTCGTGGGGTATGTGTTTTAGTATGTAAGGTATGAGTTTGGGTGTTTTGGTGTAGAACGGTGAGTAGGTCGAGGTATATGGAGTGTACATGGGTTGGGGTGGGATGGTATGTTGTTTGATTTGGTGAAATATGTGGTTTGTTGTGTCATGCGGTGACGTTTGTTATTTACCCTCATGTTATTCGCTTCTCGTATCTTATTTTTATAAATATGTTGAATTCAATTTTTTACAATATAAAAAAAGATAGTTCCTTCTGTTATGTGCTTATGTTTTCTGTCCTCCAAAATGTACTATTAAAATTTTACACCGAAGCGAATTACTTTTATAAATCGGATAGCTAAAAAACGAAATAGGATGAATGAGGTTTAAAAAATATTATATAATTTTGGGCATACTTTCCAAGGAAATGATACATATTGTTATTTAGGATCGGGGGTGTTTGATTATTCATTGGTTGCTGTTTAAGATTCAGTTGATACTTACTGTGTGATGTATAGTTCGCACTAAATCCCTGGTACTGATTCCTCCAATCAGATACAAAATTCATATATATGCTGTTTCCTCTAGTTCGTATAATGCTTGGGATATTATTATAGCTACAATATTTTCCTATTAGCCTGCCGCTTTCGTTGACTCCATCGTAAACCTCCACATAATCAGTCGAGCATTTATAATCATTGGGGAGGCTGAAGTAGGAAAATCTGTGAAACGATAGTCCTTTACATTATTGCTAGAACTTATAAGGAAAATACTACATTCTTAATTTGAATTGTTTATTTGAAAGATAAAGCCACTGTGAAGCGGGAAGAGAAGTCGAACACACGGGAGACATAACAATTTATTTTGCCGTCATCAAAAGTTTGTTAGTAAAGAATAAGTCTACATCTTTCAAAGATTAAATAGCACAAATAAATTAATAATAAAAAAACGTTTAAAAATAATCGTTTAGATATTTAGGAAAGATAAGGAAAGTGCAATAAAAATTTTATGGGATGCTATACACCCTTGAAAATATAACGGTAAACAAACTAAAACAACTTGCTCAGACACTGACATTTACAGACCAAAAAACTACTCATGAATTCCACACTCAGAACAAAGAACTTAACAAGACTCTTCACAAAAACTACGAATACATTGCAGAATTAAGGAAGCTAGCTTCAGAATTTACAAAAAGAGAATAAGACACACATGATTTTGTCTCAGGGGTCCCTTGACCTCGGAGGCCCGTGCATTTTGTCTGCCAAAAGCCTAAATTTTACGCCTTGTTATAAAGTAATGAACATCGTAAATTGAAGAAATACCAAAACGTTTCTTTAATGTCAATGCAAACTAACTCTGTATTTTACATGTCTGAGGCAATTGAAAAAAGACAAACATTTCGACATTCATAAATGGCTCTTCTCCTATTTTGAATACTTGTCCACGCCCTGAGACGTAGTCTACCTTATTTTGATAAATAAATTCATTTAATCTGAAATAAAGATATATAATGTAATATTTTTGAAAGAATGAAATCAAACCTGAGAGAGACGACACTTCCCTCCTCTGCTGTAACCAGCCAAGAGCAGTTGGCGTTGTTAAAATAGACGGATGGGTATCTGGGACTGGTGATGGTTCCAGAGGTGTTTGATATCACAGAGCTGCAGTCTGTTTAACAAAATATTTTTTAATGTTAGGTTCTAACTACAACAGTAAGCAACAAACGTTTATTTTCGATCCTAACGTTCTATGGGTTCACCTATAGTGGTACATGAACCGTTTCCAGACTCCGTGTAACCTTGTGTCTGGCTACAATTACAGAAGTAGCCTCCATAAGTGTTTGTACAGTTTGAATTTTGTGGACAGTTATGAATGCGCAGTTTACACTCGTCAACATCCAAAGTACAAAACTCTGCTGTCCAGTTGGTCAAGCAACTACAGTTGCCACTACGGGTGTCACAACTTTTCGTGTTGTTGGAAGCACAGCGACATGTTCTATAGCAGTCTGGTCCATAGGTCTTGTTTGAGCAGTCTGGAGTTGTTTTAGAGATGTATGTAAATTATTCGGACAATTTATGAGAGTTTTTAAATAATTAGATAATTATACCTATTACAAATGTAAAAAGCAATTTATAAAAAAGCAACTGCAATATTTTTAATATGATGAATTAGGTTATCTTAGTTTCATAGGATACTCGCTATTTTATTAAAATAATACGAAATATTTTATGTTTAAAGATAATGCATCACATATTAACTTTTTAGTTAAAAAATAATGTTGAATTACCAACACACTGATCCTCAACCAACATCATTCCAATGGGACAATAACACTGTTCTGCAGAGCTTGTCTGGTTAGAGATCTTCACACAAACATGGGAACAGTTCCTTTCTGAGCAGGTACTGTTACTGGCTTCAGCTGAGAGCAACAATAAATTGTAAAATAATAATAGTATACCGATAATTTTTATAGTTTTAAAAGCAACGTAAATATTGCTTAAGCTTACCAACACATTGACTGCTTATGTCCATGGCCAGTCCAGGCTTACACGTGCAGTTAAAAGTTCCGTTTAAGTTTTGACAATCTGAGTAGTCTGGACAGGCCAAAGGGTTTTCATAGCATTCATCAACGTCCACAGAACAGTTTTCTGATGTCCATCCTTCCTTACAAACACACTGACCAGTGGTGCTGTTACAATACTTGGTGTTGTCCTGGATACAGGTACATGGTGTTGTACAGTTGGCGTCGTAGGTAAAATTGGAACACTCTGAGAAAATGTGAGCTCATGTAGGAGTTTCTGGTAATGTAGCTCTTCAGCTGTTTTTTTAAATAATTAAACTATTGAACTGTTAATTACAATATGTCTAAAGTGTTAGAATCAAAGCTGAGATTTAATCAACGACTTGACTTTAAGGGTACAATGTAGAACGCAAAAAAATATTCACAAATAGATTTCTGAATGCTCACTTAAATCCTCAATTTTTTGTCAACTATTTCCAAAAGCATGCACAGTAGAATAGTAATAAAATGAAATACGAGGATTTGTTTAGTCTGTATTTATTTTATATTAAACTAAATATTTTTCACACCCTCTTCTCGATTGCAAGACCACAAACCCCCCAAACGAATTAAAATTAAAATGGAAATGTGTACTTGTTGTTCGCGCTCTCTCCCCCCCCCCCACCACTCCACGGAAAATTTTGTTCGTCCCCCCCCCCCCCCACACACACCCAAAAATCTCAAATGCTCTCTGGAAAAAAATGTCTGAAAGTAGCACTCGTTGTTTTAAACACAAAATGTCTTTCTTGTCGCTGCCTGATATGTCTATTTCCAATCGTTCCTAGCAAATTACTAATTAAAAAGTGTTTTAACGTGGTCTAAGAATAATAAACAAATTACCATGTGTCCAAAATGAAATGTTTATTCCAGTCCCCAAATAGCTATAATATATATTGTTGTACAATATAGGAAACAGCTTGATGTGGAGAACATTTCCCGAAGACCTGACAATACCCTGGGGGTATGGATACGGAGAGGGTTGCCCATAGAAGGTGATCATCGGCTTAGAACTGACGTTATTCCCATCATAAATTTCTACAAAGCCAGGTTGGTTTCCCTCACTATAGTACAAGTTCAGCCGACGAAATCTAGGGATAGTAATATTTAAGACACACTTTACTAAAACAGCGAACAATCGCAATATTTTATAATTAGACTTTTATAATATTTGAGTAATACCTTTTACTTTATAGCAAAGACATCAGTTAGACAAGATGTATACTTTCGCCAATGGTGTTCTTGATGGTAATTAACTGGATGCAGAAAACTAGAAACAAAGACACAGAAATCCAGTGGAACTTTACAATAAGCTGGAGGGTCTCAACTTTTGTTCCTATATCACAAACAAAAGAATGCCCAAACCAAACTGAACAAATAGAAGTCTACGATAAAGTGGCTAGATGGACTATCCAACGACAACCTGTACAAAACACAAAGCAACAGCCGATAGACAGGGATATAAAATCCCGCAGATGTGGATCGATATGGCACGCGCTGAGAATAGAAATGTTAACATCACAATGCAAGGGTTGGACTGGGACATACAAGTAACCAATCCTGGAGGAGGATTGTGGAAAAAGAAGCAAGCAATGTGGGTCTTAATGTGGAGAGATGTTGCTGCAGCACTTCGCTCGTCTGTAGCAAGTCAAGTGCGTCAACAGACAGGGGACAATGCTCTGTTTCCTTAAGTTTTTATTTATTTTTATACTCAATTTCTTTTGAGGTATGGACACAAATGTAGTCCTATCTTGAACTTTATTAAGGAAGGATTAATATTTATACATACCATTTTATTTTAAGAATTGTTTTTGGTTTACTTTAAATAATAAATTTAGTTTTCTGTATATTTAGCATGTTTTAATAATGAGTAAATTTTAATTTTAGGATGATAGTAATAATTTATGTAATGGTGTATTCAGGTATCTTTTTCAATTTAAGGTCAAGAAAATTTTTATCATTGCGGATAGATTGTTGTTGTTGTTGCTGTCTTTTTAATTTTAAAAACTGTTTTATGCAATTAAAAATTGTTTCAACATATACATGTTTATTATAAAACGCATATTCATGTTTGAGTTAAACTAAACCTTTGGCCTCTTTACCAGAGCGAATATTACAGGTAAGCCAAGTAAGCTAATAAACAGTTTTGCTTTTAAATCAAGTAAATCGTGGGTTAAACAATATTAAAAAACATTGGGTTTGTAATAAAATGCCATATAACAAGAAATAACTTACACTAACGAGACAACTTCTCCTTGAGCTGCTTGTATTGTCCAGGAACAGAGTAAAAAAATATGGTCAGATGTGTAATAGCTGTAATAGTTTGTTTGAATAGTGCCTGATGTCTGCAGTAAAGTTTTGCCACACGCTGGGGAAAAATTACACGACAAAATAAAACAAAAACTGTTGTTACGTCTTAGTCAATTGCATAAAAAATTTATGGTTTAACGATAATTTTATTAACAGAAATGGTCTATTACAAAGAGAATATAAAATAGAAACTATTTTCTGATACCTCTAGTGATATAGATAACCTATTGTTTGTTGCATAGCAATAAATATTGCTTAAGGCTATTGCTCCTTACTACATAAAAACTTTTCAGAAAAACCTAACTAAATTCACACACATTCTCTTCAAGTTTTAGGGAGATACAAATTGAATTTCTTTGCAAAGCCTGTACGTAATATTATTTGTTTTTTATTTAATCAATCCGATTATGCATTCCACTTACTATCACAATGGGTTTGATTTACTATATCATAGCCTACTAAACAACGACACTCAAATGACCCATGTAAGTTGTTGCAAGTTGAGTTATCGACTGAACTGGTACAGGGAGGCTTCACTAGACTGCATTCATCTAAATCTCGGCCACACAACGTGGAGGTCCAGTTAGAATAACATGTACACAGGCCATTGGTCTTGTCACATGACTTTGTCTTTGACTTTTCACATTTACACAAATTGGAACAGTTTTCTCCATATGTCCAGTCATCGCATTCTGAAAGCAGTAAAGGTATTCTAATCGATTGCTTAAAAAAAATAACACAATTTATGACACTATATATATATATATATATATATATATATATATATATATATATATATATATATATATATATATATATATATATATATATATATATATACTAGCTGCATACCCGTGTTCCGCCAATGTGAATGCAAACTCAAGCGCAAAGGCAAACACAAAAGAAAACGCAAATACAAACACAATGCAAACACAAACGCAACCGCAACTCGCAAACACAAGCACAAACGCAAACCTAAACAATAAAGATAACAGAAACATAGACTTAAATGTAAACATAAGCTCATAGTACCCGGTTCGCCAAATCGCAACATTCGGAGAGCCGGCAAAACCACATGATTCAGCTAAGTAAAATGACTATAATACCCCAACTTTTCTATAGTCTTTTGCACTCACTTAAACGAATGTAGATGCTATAGCGCTCAAGGGAAGGACCGGGGTGACAACTAGCACCTATCGGGTATCGGAGGATGCCCCATTTTTACCCAAGCTTACAGCACTCTAAACACGATTACTTCGGTACTGTTTTAGTTAGACCGGCAAAAAGCTTTTATGTAAAAATGACGAAAGAAAACTACATATTTTAAATATAAAATCAATAGGTTTCTTACCAATCTTTATCGATTACCTGTAAATAGAAGTGGTACTTACCCTTCTTTCGTTACCGTTTAAGTATGGTGGACAAAATTTCAAATATAAGTATAACATTGTAAGCGCAGGTTTCTTTCAACATTTGAACGATTTAAGAAAACCGGTAGTGGTACCTAACGTGTGAGCACGACAGAAAATTCTGTATTTTAATGTAAAAAATAATGGGGACTATCAAGTGTTTAGGTTAAAGCTACTCACCAACACAGGTCAGGTTGTCTGCAGGATTGAGCCTCATGCCTTTAGGACAATAACAGACTTCTATTCTGGGGATGGTTGATGTGACGCCACAAGCATGGGAACAATTTTTCTCTTTACACACTTTGGGGTCTGAAGAATATATTATAAAGTTAGCGATCAATTTAACAAAATATAGTTTGCGTGTAAATAAGATATTGGATTTCAATTGTAGCATATATTTCACCATAAGTGTTTTAACTTGTATTATAACAGCGCTACCAAATTAAAAAGAAATCAAATTTAAAAAAAAAAAACTTTTCATTTTCATGTAATCCTACTGCGATAATTATGTTACGCATTCAAGTATTGGAGAAATGTATTAACTATATACGGAAAAAAACATGCAGGCTCTATGTCATTCAATTGTTTAATCTTACTATATTAAGAAATGAAAAAAACTACTCACAAAATTTTCGATGAAAGAAAATAAGTTTAAAATAAATAAAAAAATTCCCTACTTTGAAAATTAAAAAAAAGCAATAAAAAACCATAAAAAACAATTTAACGAATGACACCTACCAATACATTTCCCAGTTGTATCACGTGACAACTCAGGTTTACACTCACACCTGTAGCTGCCAGGTGTGTTGACACAAACAGAGTACAGGTCCAAGCACGTGTTTGGGTCATCGCATTCGTTGATGTCCACAGAACAGTCTGCAGATGTCCAGCCGGTCTTACAGACACAGGTACCGTTGTAGTTGACACAGTAGAGGGAGTTGTTTTGGTTACAGATACAAGAGGTGTTGCATCTCTCTAGTCCGTATTTAAAGCTTGGACATTCTGAGAGAAAATGAGTTGAATTAACAATACATATATATATATATATATATATATATATATATATATATATATATATATATATATATATATATATATATATACGCAATGCTTTTAACAAAAGTCACACTAACTATTCACGGTATTGCATTAAGTGTTTCTTTCAGACTTTTATTCTCCAAGGGGGGAGCCGGGGGCACTTGAAATTTTTTAGGGGGGGGGGAGCGGTCACTGGTAAAAGTAGATATTTTATATGCATTTTTTATTTCTTTTGTGGTGGGGGTAGATGTTTTTCGGGGGGGGGGGGGGGGGGGGAATCAACCACCTTCACCACCCCAGCCACCGAAGAGATGCCTAGAAGAAATTCTGCATTTTCCAAACAATTATAATCTGGTTATTTTACTAGCATATACTAACCATGAGCCCAATATGAAGCACTAAACCCTGGACGAGCTCCCGATGCATCTGAAACAAACCGCACGTAAAGTTGGTTTTTCGTGGACCTGATGACAATGGTTGGTATCTCTGATTCGTTCAGGGAGCCACAGAAATAACTTTTAATTGTTGGAGACATTGTATTTGGGCCATCATAAAACTGCAAGTAATCTATACATTGCTGCGGGGACGATCTTTCTAAGTCCAGTCGTTTAAACCTGTGATGATATTTTAAAATACATTTAGTAAACTGTTTTACAAATCGCTGTGAGAAGTATTATTTTTGGTATGATTTTAAAAAGTTGAATTTCTAAATCGTTTGCCAATATCATAAATAAAATGTTTACCATCCGTACCAAGCATAAAAATAAATTATAAACAAATTATAAATGATAATTTTCAATTCGTAAAACATTGTTATTTTTCAATTGCTTTTAGCTAATAAAGTGGAAGTAAGCTTCCTTAAACTGTTTCAAACATATTTTGTTAATTAAAGGTTCGATGGCACTTTCAGCGGAATCGATCCCAGAGATTTTTTTCTACGTAGAAACCCAAAAGCATCTTTTTCAAAACATATCTTAAGCGACATTTTGTATGGCAGTGAATGATGTAAAGCTAACCACTGCTACTATCTGATCACTGGATTTTTTATGAAGATCATGCGAAGGATCTACTGGCCCAACACCATTAAAATGGAGGCCGATTTAGAAGTAGTCAAAAAACATAGCGCTGTGGATCATGTTAAATAGAATAGACGTGATGAAATCAGAGGAATGGGGAAGAAGCAGGAATGCAAATTGAGACGTGGAGGCGCATAGCATAAAAATTACTAATAAGATTCAGATTATCT